CTAATTCGTGATCAATTCCTGGGTGGAATGGAAATGAAAAAATTAGGAATAGAAGTTCATACTAGATTGCCAAATGCATTGGAAGATAATGGTAATAAATTTGGTAAATATTGAAAATTGCTTTATCCATGGAGGGCAGAGATCGAGGTAAATATGAGTAAGACAACGCAATAAGTTCAAAAATTTAGTAGGGAGAATCAGGCAAATAGTGATAATAATAAGAGAAATATAGGTCAGGTAAAGTAAATATATGCACTCAGTGTAGAAGATTTGTAAAGCAGACTATCTAAAATATTTAAATTTGGAAAATAGGTCATTTTGCGAGACAAATATAATTTTTATACAAAACAAAAAAAATGCATCAATTAGATGATATAATAGTTATAATGATAATAGAAACCGTAGTCAAGAATCAGTTTATAATAGCTCTATTTGTCATATATGCAAAAACAAATAGTGAGTGATAATGGGCTTCGATTTATCTCTCAGGAATTTAAGTTGTTTTGTAAAAGTAATAACATTAAATTAATACTATACCACCACCAATAGATGTTAAAAATCGGTAGGCCGAGGAAATAGCTGCTACAAATGAGTTAGGTTTGTTACTGTATTAATGATAGAACACATATTACCAGCAAACTCGCCTGAATAATTTTGTTAGGAAAACATATACCAACTTTATTGGATGGGATTAAGCTTGACCTAAAAGACAGGATGCAAGAAAATGCTATAAAATGTCAATACAAATGCTTAATTCAAGGGCACAATTATCAGTAAGAAGAAATATCATGATTCAAGATGACGATAATTCATCGATAATCAACCAGGATAAGAAATGAAACATCTCGGTTGGTGGAAAAACCAATAGTAGATTACAACTATATGAATTGCCATATCTAGTAGAGAAATTCTGTACATCATAAGCCTTGTGGATCAATTGAGAAGAGCTGTTAAGCCCTACTTTTAAAAGTGGCGCATTATCGCTCGCTCTTTGCCAAAAAGTAGCATTGCTATCACTACCCAACAAAACAAAGTAGCAGGTCATTTGCTTCTATCTTTTAAAAGTCGCATTAGCTACTTTATAAAAAAAAATTTACAAATAAATTTGTTTTATTTTTTTGATTATAATGTAATTAATTGTCTATAAAAAAATGAACATTTATAAATTTTTAAATATGATTAATTATTTATAATAAAAAGACTCAAATGAATGTATATAACTATTTATGGTAATATTTATTTTGTTACATTTTAATTATAAAATCATTTCTTTATTATCAATCTCAAGTCCAGACTGGAGATCAATAAGTATAAGATTTTGCCTTACTAAATAATCGCTCAACACTAGCATTTGAGGGTAATAGAGTATTTTATTTTATGAATATTTTTTTAAAATAAGAATAATCATCAAAAATGTTCTTTTGAGTATTTTGTGATTAAAAAAAGGCATCTAAGGTTCCATTAGATTAATATCCTTGATTTCAAAATAGAAGAAGCCGTTTTGGGGGTTATAACTAATTTATCTTTGTTTAGTAAAAAATTATTCCGCTTTAACATGAGCCTATGAGATTTTTAAATCCAAATAAGTTGATATAAGGCTGGTTTAGTTTAAAATTTAGACGAATCATGGCAGCTAGCACATTATCTTCATTGCTTAGTTTGAGAAATCTATTTAGTTTAAAATAAGTGTATTTAAAATATATCTTATTATATTAAATCTTTTAGCTTTTAAATTAGAACAAATTATTCAGTCAGAATCAGAACAACAATATATCACATTAGTTCTACTTATATAATATTTAATACAAAATATTGAACCAACTTAAATTATGGATCAATTATAATTACATTTATTTTGGCTGTAAAAATAAAAATTTCCAGAATATAAAAAATTACCTTCATCAATGCCTTTTAGCATAGTGTCAACTACGAGTTGGCATAAGTTTAGATTATTTAATCTCTTTAATTATGTTAGAATACTTAAAGAAAGAAAATAATACCCCATCTTCATATAATCCTAACTTCCAAAATTTAAAGGGAAACAGCCACATATTTACATAATCTAAAAAATTAAAATATGAAAATATAATTGTATATTATCTCTGTATATATATACTTTTTTATAAAAGTATGCTCTTCATCGCTAATCCATTGATTTCCAGCTTAATCACAAAGAAAATTCCAATCTTCTGTCATACATAAAAAATGACACGAATTCGATTGCTTAATTAATAAAATTCCTTCTAGGGTTGTTAGGAGTTAATATATACCTTGCCTAACTTGAGAATAATTTTTTCTTATTTTAAACAGATATATTTGTCTCCACATTTTGTTTTTCCAAAAAGAAAAATTGATAGTGTACCTTCCATTTCGTTAATATTTTCATTGTTTGACTCACTTAATATCCATTTTGAATAATTTGCACCAGATGGTTAAGGTGTATACAGGCGCGCACGCAAGAATTTGGTCTGGGGGGGGGGATAATAAATTTTTTTAAGAAATATTATTGTTAATTAAAAATACTAAGCATAAATTTATTAGGATTAATAACTTTTCTAATACACAATTTTAAACTAATGTGAATTAAAAAAATTATATATATAAACCGGCATTGATAAACTATAAAATAAATGTGAATAAAATATAAAGTGAATATAACCCACGATATGAATCACTTAAATGACCCAAAATTGAAATTTGAATTTTTTGAGCTTTTAAAATATATAAAGTATAAAAAATTTAAATGTTGGAAATATAAATTAATACACAAAAAGTTTCTTAGGAATAATTGTATTTTGTATGTTTTGAGCTAATTTTTCAATTATCAATCCTTGCTTGGCGTCAAACTATGTATATTCAAAAGATCCAAATCATTCAATCTACTTTCAAATGTTGTATTTCATAGGTATGTTTTTCACAGACTTGCAGGCCCGGCCCCCGAGCTGGACCGTATTTTAATTTTTTTAAATATACCCGGGCCGGGCCCGTAATTTTTTTTTAAAAAAAAACCCGGGCTGGGCCTGAAAATATTTTTAGAAAAAATATCCGGGCCGACCTGTATATTTTAAAACCAAATATTTGAAATCGCCATTATTAGCTATAAAAATCAAAAAATATAATTCTTTAAAAAAAAACCCGGGCAGGAAAAAAATTTTAAAAAAAATCTGGGCCGTGTCCTGCAAATGGTATCTCTGCAAGGCTCTGTTATTCTTCTTAAAAAAGAGAATGTTCTCTCATTAGTTTACTAAAGAGCTGCTAATAAATATAACCATTTTAATACATTGAGAGTATAATCTAAAATGTGTTTGAAATAAAAAGCATCCATAGCATTTTTTTGAACTGTATCAACTATAGTTAATCTTTTAATAATAGTTATTCAGCTAATAAGGCATCATAAGATATTTTAACATCTTCATGATAAAAATCTAACAAATATTTATATTTTTTTTCTATCACCATATGAAAAAGGTTGGGAGAGGGGACATTTGTTTTATAATACTCTTCTAATGATCCTATATTAATGTTTTGACGATGAGCTTGCTTGCTGCAAGTCGAGGGGGGGGGGCAAATATTAAACACGTATAGCTATGCTTTTGACTCAACAATAACATATAAAATATGAAATTCTTCAACAACATTAGCTCTAATTTCCTTGAGTTCTAATAAAATGCTCTCCGCTATTCTCATCTTCTTAATCAAGTCAATGTTACGTTTTTGAAAAGTATTACATAAAATAGTTGTATAATTAAATAATACATTCTAATGAGAAAAAAATTTGGAATAAGTATTGAATCCAATAATTTTCTTGCTTCTGAGGAAATATTTCTTTCAAGCCATTGTGATATTTCAGTAATAGCATTAATAATCGGCTCTTCTAACTCCATAATAGCTGTTACTGTGGCGGAGACTCGATCTCGTTGGACAAGCTTGCAATTTCTTTCTCCCTGTTGGACAAGGAGTTTCAGTGATAATTATTATTTGACTAGAAATTTAGATAAATATTACGCCACTAAAATTTGAAAATAATAGGTAAATTACCCCAAGGAAAACTTGAAATCGAAATTGATTGATAAAATAACTTAGTAGATGAATGGGATAAATAAATGTAATTAAATATATATGAGATAAGAATAAATATACAAATATAAATTAATATTAACAATAATATTTTTGAAAAATATAATCCGGCATCTTCATTTTTTGGCTTTGGGGGTGGGGGGGGGGGGATTTGTCCTCCTGCCCCCCCCTGCTGCGTACGCCTGTGGGTGTATAATACAAATTTTGAAAATATAAATTTCAATAGTAAATAATAAAATAGAAATTATGTTCGATCGAAATTTTCATTTACTTAATAAAAATTTCGAAGTAACGCGATACTTAGCTTTAAAAAAAGTAGTGAGCTACATTAACAACTTTGTAATTGAGGGATCAAATTTCTTTGGGTAAAGATTCAGTTAGGAAATAGAGAGAAGTTAGTTGTATCAAACGAGTTACAGAAGAAAACAGAGCGTTCAAGATATAGAGCAAAAATAAATTTTTAATTATATATTGCTAAAAAATATTTGATTTTGATTAGCCAGGAGAGGGAGGGTAAGGATCCCTTTCAAAAATTTGTCTGTTTTCATAAATATAATTTTAAGCTGATAAAGATCCCTCCTCCCCCAATATATACAATATACTATAAAGAAGAATTTGAGAAAAATTAAAAGTTAATGAGTATATTTTAAAATCAGAACCCCCCCCCCCCCACAGCAAAATCCTGGCTACAACTATAAATTAGGGCTATGTAAAATGTAAACTAGTTAGGTTATCAGACTGTTCTTATCTTCAATAATAAATATATTGCAATAAAATAAATTTCTATCTTTTCTGTATTCAAAATTTTATTTATTATTATTATATATACTATTTACAAAGAAAAATATTAATATAATATATTATAAAAATTTCAACTAATTAGGAGTAACTTTTTTCTTTTAGTTGATATGATTTCTGCGATTTTATTCAATTAGTATGTATAATTATTATTATTATATAAAGTAATTTCTTTTCAAGCAAATCAAATGGTTCATATATGCAATTTCTAAATGTATGATAAATTTTTTAATTTTAGTGTTTTTATAGAAAATATACAATTTATAGCTTGGTGATTATAAAGTATCTAGTCAATATGAAAGAAAAAATATTTAGAGAGTTAATTGATAATATAAAAAGGTTTTTAAAATATTAAATAAAAATATAATTGCAATTGAATGTCAAATATTTGACATCTGACAATCTCGCATGACCCAACAGATTTGGCAGGTCAAGTTACTTTAAATATTCATCGTCTGATTTAAAAAAACAAATGTATATTCAATATAAAAAACTATTAAAACAATCATTAAAATATTTAATATAAAATAATATAATAATTATGCAATTCATTACAAATATCAGATTTGTCCTATGAAGATTTCTTTTATTTCAAATTATCGGATTAGTAATTTTTCCGGTGTAGTATGAGTCATTCTATACAATTGTTTTAGTTTAGTCATGAAGCTTGCCATAAAAAATAGCGCGGATAGAAAAAACATAATAGCCATCATATAAAACATGATATAGGGGTTATGGAATTTGCTGGACACCCAGCTAGCCAAAGGAGAGCCTATTATTCCTCCTATTCCGCACATCATCATCGTGATGCCATAGGCCCTGAAAAATTTAGAACCGAACATATGGTCCACCATATTTGGCGTAAGTGTAATCCTAATTCCAAAGAATACGCCAAACATAAACGATAAAAAGGGGTAATAACTATATTTGAAAGTTGGATACAAATATGCGACACATATTATTAAATGCACGATAATGGAGGCAAGAAAAACTAATATTTTGTTGAAAAAACTTATAGATTTAAAAGTTTTTATGGCATATAAATCGGTTGTGACTATTTTTTTCCTCCGAGAACTTTCAAAAACACCCCACAATGTAATAGTCATGCGACCCATTATATCTCCTATTCCAATCCATGATATTAATGCCGAACTTTGCAAGACATTGAAATGCAAATTTCTCCCAAAATCCGCTATCATAAAATAAATTATATTAGAACCCATTTGCCATAATGCACAGGATATTAAAAATGTGACACTTTTCCAATTTCTTACTCGCATTTCTTTGACGTGATTGTCTGTATCGTGAGTCGCGTTAATAGCTTGCGCCGATTCTGCATCTATAATATCGTTCTTCCGAGGTGATGCAACTTTAATAGGATGATTCACATCGGTTTTATTATCTTTCGTCTCCAAGGGCTGTGACAATCGGGGTAACCTAAATAAAAGACACCCAGAGATACAGACATTTAAAAAAATACCCCCATTAATTAAAAGCGACCCTCGAATTCCGTAATTTGTTATAAGTTTAGTGATTAGGATTGGAAAACAAAGACATCCCAGTGCGGTACCACTCATTGCGAGAGCATTCGCCAGAAGGTATTTCCGGTTAAAATAAATTCTATTGACTGATATGGCCGCCGTGAAAATTATGCCAGCGCCAGTGCCTACCAATAAGCCTTGCGTTACTATTAATATATATATGTTAAGGCTTAAGTAAGAAAGGCAAAATCCAATAGCTGAAATTAGAGAACCGATGATTAGCGTCTGTGAACAAAAAAAAGAAGGCTTTAGTTTATTCATATAATGTAGTGCTGTAAAGTATTGTCAATAAAATTTTTGAGTAAATTTAACGCACTTCGTTACTTTATTCAAAAGTGCAAGCAACGCATTTATTTTTTAATGTAATTTTGAATAAAAACTATAGTAAAACATTTTGTTTAAATAAAAAATTTTATATTTGTTTAACTCATCGAATTTCTTAATTGTTTATATAACTTTTCCCTGCCCGAGTTATTGAGATACTCTCCCTTAAACATTCTCCGTTAAAAAAAATTCAACCTTTTTTGAAATACAGTTATACTTTGAATTAAAGGCACGGGAGTTTGATAAAAAATATAAAATTTAAACTCCGACGCACAACCTTTCAAATCATTCCCCTGTTTTTACTATAATAAAAGGATATAAGTACGAAGGTGAATCATTGATAAGTATCTCAGCTTGCAAAACATCAAATCTAATATCGGAGATGCCCAATGTATTTTATAAGTACCCAACAGTATCGCAATAATTTTAAAACTACAATATATCGTGGTCTGTCCCCGGTTTTGAAATAATTTTTTATACTTTAGAGAAAATTGATAATTTTTTTATTTTCAAGTCCAAGATCTTTTTTAAAAAATTCGAAAAAAATTTTAATTATAGGTTAAATTTTTGAAATATTCAAAAATATTATTTTGGACATGTTCTAATTTTTATCTTTAAAAAAATTCTTATTGATTTTTCAAAGGTTTACGATCGAATTTTTTGATATTTTTGGATAACGGCTTGCATAAAAAAATTTTATAAAAATTGTTTTTAATAAATTATTTAATCCAAATAATTTATTTTACTTTTTTATTATAAATAAATATTAAAATGATAAATTATAACAAAACCTTGAGAATCTTTTTAGCACAAAAATGTAAAAAAAATATCGCCATTTTTCATAAATTTCCTAATATTTAACAATGATTTATTAAATACAAATTATCATTCCTTTCAGCATACCAGCCGAACGCTTATCAAAACTAACATTCTTTTCAGCGTGCCAGTCGAATGCTTATTCAGTGTTGTTAAAAATGTTTTTATTGTTAAAATTGGATGTTTCCTTGATAAAAACTTTGAAAATATTTTTATATTAAAATCAAATAATAATATTTCATATTAATGTTTTAAATATTTTGTTTAATGTATTGTTATTTTTAATAAATACCCAAAACCAAAAATAACCCCGGTTTTTACTTTTCAATGCGATATTAAACGCTTTATTTAAAGATATGATAAGATATTTTATTTATTGTCGTTAGTGTTGTTAAACTGCCCGATTTTGTTAATCAAAATTATATTATGTAAACCTGGAGATTTAGTTCATAGATCACAGAAAAGTTTGAAATTCTATTTGCCAAATTTTGAGGCTTACATAATATTTTTTCCCTAAAATCTTAATCGGCCCATTTTTAAAAATCGACCCATTTTTAAAAATCGACCCAAATTGAGTCATTTAACAAGATTAATTGTCATAAATTAAATATGTATAATTGCGCATGAGAATTTGTTTTTAAAAAGGGTTGAATATGTCAAGAAATATAGTATTAAGAATAAACAAAATAATCGTTTTGATTCATGGATATAACACATACTAATATGGTCAAAAATTAAGATCTCAAAATGCTAGGCAGAGCTTAGATACTTAATTTTCCCAAACATTTTTAATTTAGCAAGATGGAGATGGGATGTTTTATTTGCCTTGCGTGCCACATTATTGCGAATACTCTTATATTCCAATATAAACTTAGACCCATCTCAAAGAACAACTTTTGACCACATATTTCCTTGCTGGTTAACTGTTAATAGAAATTTTTTTTGGTCTATCATTAAATTAAAAAGTACAGTTGCTGGATAAAAATTAAAATCACTTTAAAAAAATTATAACCCAAAGAGTGAATCATTCTGTTGCAGGTTGAGATAGATAAATAATATTTTTCGTCTTATCTCTTAATGTTTGAGTCAAAGTCAAAGGAACAAGATCTGATCAGCGATTGTTCCTGATAATTTATTGCAAACTGCGTTTATCCTTTAATGTTGTCACTTTGAAACCTTATGAGGCCTATGTGAGTTAATTTAACGGGATCTTTTAATTTATTAATATTGCATCTTATAATTTCTCTGCATAGCTAAAGTTTTTTGGCTATGGACAAATTATGCATTCCTTCTTTATGTAAATGAATCCAAGGGGTATTAATTCAAAAATAATTGCGAAAATAAAAGTTAAACATTGTTTTTGCAAATGTTCGTAGACGATCTTACCTTCACTCTAACATTAATGCTATTTAAAGCAATGACTAAAATACAAAATTTAAAAAACTACATTATTTTTTAACTAAAATAATTTTCAATAAATTTTCATTACTTTAAAAATTAGTGATCGAAATAAATTAAAATATCATTGGAATCTCTAACCTTAAATTACCATGTTAAAATTATTTTGGTCAAAATATAACTATATGCAAAATTTTGCGTTCCATAAAAGCGACAATATGTAAAACCGACTTTATTTTTGACTTTGGGTAGATGTATCTGTTAATTCAAAAATGTATCTATAAATTATTTTATGTATTTAAAAAAAGTATTTGCATAGATATCGACAGACACGCATAAACTTTGTATCGATTGGGCTAAGATAAGTATCGCTAACCAGTCTTATCTAAATATTGATCCTTATTTTCATCTAGAATTCCAGCCCAGAGCGAAAAACCAACCAAAAAAAATGAATTGTGAAAAATAAGACAAAAGTGCACTTAAATAAAAGCAAATTAAAAACAAAATAACACTTTTATAAAAGAACCAAAGGTAAAACAAAAATGCACTTTAAGAAAAACAAACAAAAAATTATTCCAATATTTTTATTTAAAAAAAAACACAATACTCTTTTAATTTTCTACCTATTTTTATTTAAAAAAAAACTAAGTTTAATGTTAAAATCTTTTTATTAAAAGAAAATTATCTACAAGAATAAACGCAAAATTATTTGCTATCCTCTAGTTCTAAGCGCATATAATTTTTCCGATTTCGTTAAAAAAAATCGTGTCTATCTACAAATTTTTTTTCGGAGTCCTTAATTACTCAATTTTAGGTTTTAGGGATCGAATATTTACCGGCATGTATCCTATCTGATTAGATAAAAATTGTGAAACCATCCCTAAAAGAAGGATTAACGATCCAGGAGTGCTTGTTAGAAGCGCAACTTGTACGGGGTTGAAAAGTAACAAGTATTCCGAGTAATAGACTCCCATGGAGAAGCAAATACCTAATATTATAATTAAAGAGAAAAAAAATTTTTGAAATATTTTTTATATGAAGTATAAGTGGGTATTGTGAGCAAATATGACATAACAAAAATTTATTTTAAAAATTATTTGTTATCGACCGACATATACTTAAATTGGCCAATATCAAAATTGAATTACTGATATAAAATGTCAAGTACAAAACCAAATTTTCGTAGGGATAAAAACAGGGATTCGAACCGAACCCGAACCCGGAGAAGTGAACCCGGGTTTTTAGAAAAAACTCTGAACCCGAACCGAACCTGAACCCCATTTATAAAATTTTCAAAACCCCGAACCGAACCCAAGAATTTTATTTGAACCCGGGTTCAGTGTATTATTTAAAATCATATATTAATATATGTAAATACAAATATTATATTTTCAAATTTCCAATTAAATGAAGTCTTAATAAATTTTAAACAACTTAATTCATTTATGCCATTTTTAAATTTATACTCGATTCCTATTGGAGTGTTAAAAAATTTTAAACAATTGAATTAATTTACGCCATTTATTTTTAAATTTTTATCTTATTATTCTTAAAGATTATTAATTAGAAGAAAATGGTTAACAAATCAAAGTAAAAATTATTATATTGTTAATTTAAAAAATTCTAAACATCTAACCTAAAAATTGTTAAATGTAGGGCAGTTTTTGTGAACTTATTAAAATGATTTTAAAATTTATATATGCTAATCATTTATTTTTGGTTCAGTTTAATTTTTACAAGATATTAATGAAGTGCATATTATAAATGAAATTAAATTTATAAATATCTCTTTTTTAATTCTGAAATCATTGCTATTTAAAAAAATTGTTCTCTTTTTATAGATTTAAGATTAAAGATAAAGTCATATTTGATAAGCATTTTACCTTTAATACAATAGAAAAAAAATCAATATGTTCATATTGCAAAGTAAAAATGTCTGGTAATCACTTGTCAAATTTAGAAAGACACCTGGAAAGAAATCACAACAATGAATATTTTCATTATTTAAATGAAAAAACCAAATATCAGGAATTGTTATTGACAAAAAAACCTAAAATTAATATAGAAACCTTTTTTCCAAAAAAGCATATAAGTATAAATATATCATCTAATGATTTGATGAGTTCTATACTAGAACTTGTTACTGTAAATGGCCGGCCTTTATCAATTATTGAAAATTCGGGATTTCAAAGAATTATAAATCCACTCCTATCTGGGCTCAATTTAGTTATAAACAAAGAAAATTTATCCAGAACTATTAATAAAACAGCCCAATCAATTAGAGACAAAATATCGAGAGAGGTAGAAGGAAAATTAATAAGTTTAAAAGTTGATGCAGTTCAACGACTAGATAGGTCAATTCTTGGTGTAAATATTCAATTTATATCAAAGTCCATTATAAATTTGAGGACTCTTGGAATTGTAAAGCTGAAAGAGAGATGTACAGGAGAATATATTAAAAACTTTACTAAAATTTAAAATTAATATTCAACAAATATACAGAATTACTTCTGATAATGGTTGTAATTTTTTAAGAGCTATAAAGCTCCTGCAACCTGAAACTGATTATGATATAAGGAGTGAATCAGCAGATGAGGAAAATATGGATGTAAATGTATATAAATATGATATTGATGATATACAAAATACTTTTTTATCAACTATTATATCCTATCCGATTTATAGTGTACGGTGTGCAGCTCACACACTTCAGCTGGCACTTCAAGATGCTATAAAATTATCACCTATTGTGGAAACCATTGCAAAGGCTAGGAGCCTAAATGTAAAATTAAGACATCTTACTTACCAAAAGTTATTAAAAAATATGAAACTCCCTAAGCCTGTGTTAGATTGCCACAGATGGCAGTCAACCCATGATATGTTAGAAAGGCTGATTTTACTAAAACCCAATATAGAAGATTTTTTTACAGAGCAATCTGGTTATTTATTGACTGAAGATTGGAAAGAGATAATAACGATTGTTGAAATTTTAAAACCGCTAAAAATCGCAACCAAACAATTCCAATCTGAACAGTTAACACTGACAGATTTTTATGCAGCATGGTTAATATGCTGCATCGAACTGGAAAAAAATCCAAACCATTTTGCTCAATTACTATATTCTTGTCTTAAGAACAGAGAAGAAAGGTTTATAAAGAACGAAATTCTCTTAGCTGCCATATACCTGGACCCAAGATACAAGGTTAATTAAAAGCTTAGTAAATTAATTATTTTAGATTTATATTAAAATTGTTATTTTATGAAATATTTAAATATAAACAATATAAATCCTTAAATATTACAGGTATTACTTAGTGATGATGATAAGATTTGTGCGAAAAAACATCTTGTCAATTTATGGAGACGAATTAAAAGCTTAACAACGCCGATTTTATCTGATGATATTAGTTCCGATGAAGTTATTGAACAAGAAGATGATTTAGAGAAATTGATACAACTTAAAGAAAGGCAGGAGAAAATACTTAAAAGAGGGCCAACGATTGCTGAGAAAAGTATTGGAACAATAATTACTGGATTTAGCGATTATAAAAGATTAGATAGGAAGGAAAATATTTTGCATTTTTGGGAGTCTGCTAAGCTGGAACACCCTGAATTATATATTTTATCTAAAATCTTATTTGCTGTTCCTGCAACCCAAAGTTAATTTTTCATATTTTCACATTAAATACATTTAACATAGGTTAGCGTTGAAAGATCTTTTTCACATTTGAAATTCATTCTTTCACCACATAGATCGAGGATGAGTGAACAACTCTTGGAAGATATTATGCTAATACGTCTAAATAAAATTTTTAAAATTGATACATGACTATATGCTTTGTATTTTTAACTATATTTGCCTATAAATAAAATAAAAAATTTATTTTTTATATCAAATTTATGTCTAGTTTTTTATTATGATTTAAATATAGAATTTTTTTTATCAACTCAAAAATTCTTGAACCCGAACCGAACCCGAACCAAACCTGGGTTCAAAAATATTTCCCTGAACCGAACCCGAACCGAACCCGGGCAAAAATTTTGTCGGGTTCGCATCCCTGGATAAAAATACCCTAATTTTCAAAAAAATTTAAATGCTTTTTTAATTAACCTTATTTCCAGGAATTTAAATTTTTATAAAATTGGGGTATGTCCGTTAGCATCTTTGTCCAGCGCCTTTGCGTTGATCTTAGATTATTTTTTTTCTTATACTTGATGACCTAAATGTAATTTAAGATTCTATTTATAAAAAGTAACATTTCACACGTGGAAAATTATTAAGCATAATAATATTGTTCTTTTATCTTTGAGATAACCGCTAATATTAAAGTTTGTTTTACCATTAAAATTTTGATAACTAAAAGAAGTAAAGTGATCTATTAAAATTCGAGGCTTTTTTTGGTAGCGAGGAGGTGAGAAGGGGAGGGGCATGATGTATTGCGTCGAATGTAACTGATTTTTTGTGGTTTTATTAAAATATTTGGTGAAGTCGTAAAATTATTCTTATATATAAAAAATATTTGTTTTTAAGAAGCGCCTGTGGCTCTGACACTATAAACAGATTGAGGAATCTCTTTAACCTTCGACTTGGGTGAATCCAAGGATCGTTATTTTTTTTGAAGTCGACAAGGTATTTGTGTGCTACGGGGGCATGATATGAAGCGGATCAAAGGCGAGCACATGATTTGGGGTGGGTAATATATATATTTAAAAAATGGGTTCTTATTGCATTTCAATGAAATAAATATTCCTATAAGTGAAAATAGGAGTAAAGTGATTGGTATTATTCATTTTTACAATAATATTTTGAAAAATTAACAAAAAACATAACAAATTATATATTTATAAGTAGTCAAATCCCTCATCTAAAAAATAAAAAAAAGTGTAGCTCTCTAACTAGCCATTTTACCCCTTACCCTGGGTAAAATGATTAAAATAAGACTCAACATAACTGTTGTTTAATTAACCAAGATTTTGCAATTTTGACATCTATTCATCACTTTTAGTATTATCTAATCCGGATAAAAAATTATATAAAAAATATCACATTTTGCGTGTGGCCATTTTAGGCACATCGTACATTTCAATTATTCGTCCCTTTGCGCCTATTCAAAATTTTATTCCAAATAACATACAAACTATTTATTAATGTTCATTTTTGCACAAAATATCTTTTTATAAATTTTCTTTTTAGACCTTAAATCAGACGGAAGATTTTAACCGTTTTCCATAGCAACTTTATCCCAAGGTGATATATATTGAAAAATTTATTAGTTAAGCTATAACTTTGGATAAATTTTATTTTATAGCTATGGCTTTAGGGAATATGTTTACAAATTTTTAAATTTTGAGCCTTAATAATTTTGCTTAGAGCAAAAAAAACTCGAAGATGATTTTTATGATTCTTAGGTAAAAAAACGGTTTTCAGGCAAAATATGTAAACCGGGGAAGGTTTTTAAAAGATAAATATAGGCAAAAAATTAGATATAAAAATAGGTCTTCACACCAAATTTAAAGTCATTTTGCTCAAGTGTTAGGAAGTTATTCGCGTTAACATTGTTACCCTGAAATCGTTTTATCCCGGTCTCCCCTAATGATCAACGTCATTTTAAATAAATATTTATGGCCCAATCCCTGCCTGGGTATTTTGGCTTAGTCCGGATTTTTAATTGTATATTGTATAAAAGATGAATGAATAAATGACCCATTATCATTTTTCTTTCTAATTAATATAATTTTTTATTTTATCGGTCCGGCCCACTTTCCCGGGTTAAAATTTTTTTATTATTAGTAATTCCAGCCAAATTTAAGGAAAATTTCATTTACAACCACTTCTGAAAGCATTTGTGGGTTTAGCTACCTCCCTGCAGATCTCCGCATATAATAAATCATATTTTTCATTTAAGTATAAGTATAAGAAAATTTTATAAAAAATCACATTAGGCCTTAGCCTATATTTCGTTGCAAGTTTATGGTAAATTTTTATAAAATATGCGAAATTTAATTTAAAAAATAATAAATACGGCCCACATTTGGACATCAATGTCATATGCGTAAAGAAGGGGTAAGGCTTAGGGATATCTACCCTTCAGTTGCCTAGTTTTGCGTATCTTCAAACTCCTCTCACTTCCTTTAACCCCCCCTCCCCTCTGAGCCAAATGTCTTACAATAATTTGACTTATAAATTTTAACTAATAAAATATGACTGACTTATTAAAAAAATTCAGAAAAAAAATGTAATTTTTGTTTTAAATTAAATTTTCCCCATTTTATAAAAAAACTAGTCCAAATTACAAGACGTTCAAAATATGATTATGATGTTTTGTTTGCCAGTTTTTGAACATAATAATTTCACATGATTTTTTATTAATTACTATGAGTGGTAATTTATTTATAGTTTTTTTGTCTTTCAAAAGCTGAAATTAAAAATGAATAATTACAATATCGGATGATTTAATCAATAAAGTATTTTTATAGCCCAAAAAATATATTTATTAGCAATTTAGTTTAACAATTTAATTTAAGTAATATTTAAAATTGGAATTAAAGACAGAAATGTTCTGGGCAAAGACATTGGAAAAAATACCCCAATTTTCAAGAAAATATATTAAAATGCTTAAAAAAGAAAAGCATGCTTAAAATTGTCCCTTTGCATTTGTCAACATTATTTCTGCTGTGATTCACAAAATTATTCGAAATCGCAATAATTTTTTTTAAATTTGCATTTTATCTTTGGCTATTTTTTGAGATCATTTATTAAATTTGATTTTTTTAAAGCAAAGAATCAACTATTTATATGCCGTAAATATTTTTTATTTTGTTAAATATCTTTGTATAGAAATCACAGGTGTAGCCAGTATATTAGCTTAAAATGACACTTACGAGAATAAGCAAATTTGAGAGCCCTACCTCTTTTAAACAATAAAATATTAAATTATTCTTATACATAATCAATCTTAAAAGGGAGTTATTTTTGTCGATAATAAGGTAGAAAATCCAATATTTTAGAAGTGCCAAGCTAATTTAGCTAACCCTACGATTGAGGCTTATTGGGTAAAATCAACAGGTTTACAAAAATTAAAATCTAAAAAAAAAGTTAATAAATAAATTGTGATAGTGCTTATCTATAGTATATAGTTGTAGGTAAGCTTATCTATAGTATATAGTTGTAGGTAATCTATTGATACAAGGACTTCAAGAATTAAAAATAGTATGCATATGGATAATTTTTTTTAAATTTGGTTTGCCTAAACCCTTGATATACCATTTAAATATTTTTTATATACTTAGAATCGATTTTTTATTAACCTTCTGAAAAAAAAAATTTGTATATTATTTCTATATTTATATTTTTTTTTAAATAAGAGCTTAAATTCTTAACAAATTTTAAAATATTAAATCACATTCCAATAAAAAAAAAATATATTAATTTAAAATTATAGATTGTTATTTTATAATTGTTCACTTATGTGAATTGACAAATTTACTTGGGCGAAAAGTCTTTTAAGGGTTTATAGAACCAATATTTTTTTTTATCAGAAAGTTATAAGTAGAATTTATGGATAATGCATAGATTATAATTTAGTAAATAATAACTATGTACACCACAAAATTTTATTGATAAATTTTAATAAAAAAAATATGCAAACAAATAATTTAAAAAGAAACAAAGATTTTTTAATCTTTTTAAAAGAATATGTAAAATATAATATATTTAAAAACAAATAGTGTATATAGTAATGATTAGAATTGTTAAATTAAAAACGGATATCTCAATATTTTATCCAGAAAAATATTAGGCAACCTGAAGACTTGGCTCATAGATGGCACAAAGGTTTCGATATATATTAGCAAAATCTAGAGGGTTAAGCAATGTTTTTCTGGCTAAAATATTGAGTTGATCAAAAAATCTGCTCAAATTTTAGCCATTTAACAACACTTCTACTGATACTTATTATAGTATATAGTAAATATCTAGCAGATTTTCCTGTTTGGATCCTACCTATTCTATTAAAATAACTGGTTCTTCGATTAAAATAACTGGTTCTCGGTTATTTTAAAAATATAATTATACTATAATGATCTCGTATTTATTTTGAAAATTTATAAATTAAGATAAATATTATTTTTTGTTGACAATTTATAATTTAGTGTCTAGAGTAAACCTCGAGTTAACGAATTATTTTTAAATAAACGCTCTAAATCAATATTATAACCATATAAATATTGCTTAAGCCTTGAGGACTTCGCTAATAGATGTCACCTTTGCGCCATATATGAGCGAAATCTTGAAGCTTGCGTAATATTTTTCTGAAATTAAATATAAATATTAAGTTAGCCGTTTTTTAAAAATCGGCCCAAATCGAGTCCGTTAACAAAATTACTAGTATGTTCTTAAAAACTTCAATTTAGCCAATTACAATTATAAAAGGGCGAAGTCGAGTTTTCAACACTACATACAATAAATACAACACAGAAAAAAGGTATATTATAATATCGAGAATTACAATTTTGATATTTTGTAAGCATTTTTAGTTTACAAAAAATAAAATTATTATTATAAGCATCTCTAGATGTAGTAACTATGAATCAAAATAAAATTGGTTCCCAGCCCTTGGAGTTTTTTATACATAAAATCCCTGAAAATACCTAATTATAAAAAAGAGACAAAAATTTCCCAGTCTCAATAAGGAAGACCAAGGTAAAGGGAATGATCGAGTAACAATGCTAACGCGAATAATTATGTAACCCTTATTAAGACATTAATATGTGAGTGAGGATGTATTTTTATTATATATATTTATTTTCTTACCTATGTTTAACTTTTGAAAAAAATATTAAATTTAAGTAATTACATTGTAATAATTTTTCATTTAGCAAAATATATTTATCCTAATAATTTAAAATCTGGTACAGATATCCCCTAAAGTACTTTTACAGCTTCAGGCAATAAATAGTTATATGAGAGATGCATCTGGTTGGGGGGGGGGGGGGGGTTAAAAGGCTTCCTCCGATAAAAGCTGTAAAAAGGGAATTCGCAGATTTATAAAAAGTTTGCTTTATATATAATTTTTTTAAAAAATATCCGAAAAGGTAAAGAATTAACATGTATGATGATCTTTAAAATGGGCATATATGTTCCAATTTTGATAATTTCTTTTCATGCCCTTATTGTATTGATTGGTATATTTATAATATAAATAAATGTCAAAATTGTAATATTTCGTTCAATAAAACAATAAAGTCGGGCTCAATTTTATCTTAATATTTTACACTGGTAAAAACAGTTAAATAAATATTTAATCACATAAGCAAAAAAATTATGTTTTTTAAATAGTAAACATTTTAACAATTTATACATTATATATTTTCATTTTAAGATATATTCAAAACTATTTTAAAAAAAGTTTCAAATCTTTTGCAAATTCTAATAAAATCATGTTAGATTTTTAAAATTCGCAAAATTTAGAATTATATTTTGGACATGATTTTATTTTTATATTTAAAATTATTTATCTATATTAATTAAAGTTTCGATAGTTTGTAAATTTAATTTTTTGATGTAATTTAGGTGAACGATAAAAAAAAAAATTTGATTCAATAAACTATTTATTGTTATTTGAGAAAACGTAGCCAATAATAATTTGAAACAAACCGCCTCAATTAAATGTTTACTAATTAAATGATGAAGAGAGGTATTGTTTAACAATTGTAACATAATTCTTATTTAATATTCAGTAGAAGACATTTTTTAAATATATATATTATTTACAAATTAAATGTTACTAAAAGAAGAGAATTGTTGTCTCTGTTATTTTTTCCATTCAGGGTAATTAAGTCGAAGGGTTTTTTTAAAATCCGATTACCAATTCTAATTAATATATAATTTATTTCACAGTTTTGTATAAATCTGTTTTCAAAGAATAACGGACAGAAGTAAGCTGGACAAAAATACCCATGGAAGAACACTGCACAAAAATAAACGAGTATTTTTGTCCTGTGTCCTTTCGTTCGTATTACTTCTGCACTTTTTTTTTAAGGATTAATAATTATAAACAATTTTAATTAATATAACATATTAGTGTGATCGAATTTTACTTCACAAGGCTATTTTAAAAACATGCTCAATTTGTGCAAGTTTAAAAATGCATATTTTCTCAAGAATTATAATTAATTTTTAAAAAAGAGCGAAATTAATTCAATTCAGCTGCGTCACTAAGGAGAGTGCGATGGTAAACAAACCCCTTAAAAATTTGAATTTTTTTTATACCCAAAAAAATGTCAATTTAAAAATGTTAGGCAAAAAATCATTTTGAAAATTTTTTTCGTGTCCCCTCCCTGATATTATAAAGGCTAGTGACACGCCCCTGATTTGATTATGGTCCAACTCAAAGAAGTTGCCGTTATTACAGCTGATTTATTTAAATTTCTATCTTTTTAACTCAAATAAATTGCCGTCACAACAGCTGATTTATTTAAATTTCTATTCATTTATATACAATCACCAGATTTGAGATTTATCAGTTTATTAATTAAACTCATTTAATTTTATTAAATAAAATTTTTAATATATCTTAACCCTAAACCTTATCTCTCAAACATTTAATTAGCCCTAACCCAAATTTTTTAACCTTTAATCCTACTCATTACTTCAGACACTTATTTAATTTAAATATATATTTCATCCAGTAAAAAAATGTCCTTCAGTTGAGCAGTTGAGCTGTTCCCAAACAAAAATTCTTCTATATCCTCAGCAATAAAATATAAAACTTTTCTTTTATATTTTCTATAGATGAAAATGTTTATGAATTTTTCTATAAATGGAAATGTTTATGAATTTTTCTATAAATGAATAATGAGCGGGTAAAAAATAATATCTATACTAGATAGATACTTATAAAAATGAATTATAATAAATAATTTTTTTAAAAATATTTTTCAGATAAGTTGAGAAACATGTATTTACCTCCAGCTACGAAACAGCCGAGAAATGATGCTAAAAGAGCTGCCCAAGCCCAACCTTTATCTTGCACGATTTTGGAACTGTTATTATTCTGTTTTTTGGGTGGCGAGGGATTAACGATGAATGAATTCCCCCATAATTTCCTCATCTTACTATTGTTATAGAAAATTATTCCAAATTTGTCTTTTTATTTGTATAAAATTTGGAAAAAGAAAATATTAATTCAATTGCCAATACTGATTTATTTTAAAAAAAATTAGGAGAATATTAATGAAGATATTATTTTACAAAATTTAATTATTACCATAAAATTCAATTTTATTTTTAAATTATGCAAACTTAATAAAAAAAAAAAACAAAAGAAAGAAAGAAAAACAAGGTTAGATATTATTATAAAGTGTTAAAATAAATAAATATTTTTTATGATTTATAGCCATAATAGGTTTTTAATAAATAATAATTTTTATTTGAAATTAATGGTGATTTATTGAAGCATATCAGAGAAATAGGATAGGCCCGTTGTCACCAGAGGCGTAACGGACACCCTGCGACACCTATTTTTTTTCAGATACAGGGGTTTCAAGAATCTAAATTATGTGGGATACATAAGACTGTGCTTTAAAGGGACCCTAAAAGTTTTTGCGGTTACGCCCTTGCCTGTCCCTAAATTGTTAACTATCATTTGGAATATCTCTTACAAACTTTAAATCTTTACTAAAACTATATAAGTGAACATTTTTAAAGAAATTATAATTTTCCTTGATTTTTTTTGTCACAAAGTGCATCACTAAGGTACATCCAAACTTAAAAAATAAATAAATGTAAGATTTAAAAATTTAGCCCTACCTGTCTAGTGTGTCGATTATGTGGAAATGCCTATATTTTTTTTAGTGTTGTTAAAAGTACTTTTGATCCACTAATATATGGGTTGTTATAGATAAGTAATTATTACTGATCATACTTTTAATGTCATATTAAAGCTATAATATTCATCCGAGGTTTTCTGCCCACTAGTATGTCTTTTTATTTTATCTTGTTCATATTTAGCACCAACATTTATTAACTTTTAGGCCTTGCCTATAAAACTTTTCACTTTCTGTTGCTATTAGAGGTTGAAGATATTTCGAGATAGCTGACATTTCTGTAAGACTTGATTTGCTTAACAATTGTACATACATATTATATGATGTCTGATTAGAATAATTTTTTTCATTTTAAGACACATTTATGCCTTAAACTTGTAATTTAGCAATTTGCGCATTTTACAGAATTTTCTAGGTTTTCTAAAAAATTATCCAAAATAGGGCTCTTTCTATTTTCTGAAGCTTTAAATTCGATATAAATCTTTTTTTAGTTAATACCTCCGATTTTCAAAACATTTCAGTCCAAATTATTTCATTGTCATTACTTTTATAAGGCAGGTAAAAAAAATGTTGTTGCTGAAGATTTTTAGTTGTTAAAAAATTATCTTTTATTTCTAAAAGAATTAAATTAAATTAGAAAATATATATTATATTTTATAATTTGTATTCATAGAAAAACAATTGTTTAATATTTTTGTGATTCACGGGAAATTTATGTTCACGTCCAATCACGCCCGATAATAATTATAAAAAAGCCCGTCACGCCTCGTAATTCAAAATTTATTCACATCATGCCTGACACACCGTGACCCATTGTGTGATGTCCCAGCCCTCGCCCATTTTTAGTCTGCACTTCTCAAATAAAGGTTTTATTAATTATTATTTTTTAAATATTTGTTTATATAAAATCCTTTTGTAAATAATCGTTAAACAAAGCTAGTATATTATAAATAACTAATATATTCTATTTTAAAGATGTATTTTTATTTGATATTGAATCATTATTTAAGCAGTCCAAGAAAATAAAATTTGCATAATCTTATCATACTTACATTATGCAATCTTAATTTATCATTTTTAAAAGTTAGCTAAAAAAATTGAATGTATTTAAGGGCGTTAAATGCGAAAAATCATATTTTGTATAAAATGAATGATAACAAATCAATATTCCCTCTCTTTCTTTTTCCGAAGACAAGGAATCCGTTTTAAAATATTTTATTAGTAAAGTTATTCGTCCTGATATCGTATCTTCACTAATGGAGAAGCCATTAAATGTCATCACTCGTTATTATGCTTTGGGTAATTTATATATTTATCATATCTGCGTCAATCATAAAATTTATATAATTTAGGGATCATTCCGTGAAAATTGCTATAAAAAAGCCGGTGCCACAGAAATCAAAATACCCGAGGAATTCCAAATTTTGAACGATACAATTAAAAAAATCAACCACATTTATGGAAAAGATATAGGATAACTTAGAATCTAAACAAAAGACCAGTTTCCGTTCTAAATTGCCAAAAATTGGGAATCTCGCTTATTTCTCCTAGAAAATTTTTAAAGTAAATTTGAAATTATTATAAATATATGCTATAGAAGTAAATTGAGTTTTTTTTAAAAAATCGCTAAAAATGGAGGAAATATCAGCCTATTCCCAATTTGATTTCCAAATTGGTAATGAAATTGGGAGCAATGATAATATTTTCTCCTTTTTAGCGATATTGTTTACTTACCTAGCATCTATTAATATTAATTTCAAACTTACTTAAAAGTTTTCTAGGAGATATAAGCGACATTCCCAATTTTTTGCGATTTATGTTTTAGCGATTTATGTTTTAGCGATTTAACTATCCCAAAAGGCCAGGTAACCAAAAATTTAAATAATAATATTTTAAATATATTTATGGTTTTCTTATTTATTTAAGATTTGTATCAACTTATTAAATTTTGCGAATAGTTTAAGGAACATGCCCCAACACCACCACCGCTTGATGAGGAAACTGGCAGATATTAAAATCATAAGGTGCAGTTCGGTCCGAAAAAGATGTTATTATGTGGGGAAAAATCATTATGATGCACAAAAGTTATGGAAACCTCAGCTGAGAACATCTATATTTAAACATTTTTCTGTTGTATTTACGCGAAACGGTTGGCGGCATTGAGATGATGACACAGCTTTTAATTTTGTAGTATCCTACTATTTTTATACACAAACAAAATTGATATCAAGTTTAAACATTAACGATGTTTACAAAGACGCTGTAAAATGTCCCATCTAGTTAAGACGATGATCAGATATTTTCAAGCGCATTACCATAATCAACACCACTACATACTATTTCGGATATGAAATTGGTTAACACGTTAACTAAAAATTATTTTCCTTTATATAATAAATACATATGTATATATGTCTTATTGGGATATGGAATTCATTGGGATTCGAAATCTAGATATAGTAGGCATTGTAGTCAAGGTAGAGATGGGACCTCCCCCCCCCCAACCCACTGTAAATTTAAAATTTTAAAATATTTAAGTTGAGCTACGATACCATCATGGGTTGGCATATATTAAATAGGTGTAAGATGATTATTAATATATAATAAATTTTTATGAAAAATTTGTCATAATTTTTCACAAATTATTAATTCATCGCTATAAAAACATTCAGTATAATTTTTTTTTTACTAACCAATCAAAAAAAAATCCTTAAGGGACCTTTCAAACAAGGACGTTTTTTTCTAAACAGCAAAAATGTATGATATTCATAGAAAAACTACTAAGACAATATTTATCTTTTTAGCCGTTTTGAAAACTTCTTGTCCAGAATCTTGGGGAGGGGATAAATTTAAAAAGCATATACTTTATGGATTCATTTTTATGAAGTATCAAAATTTATACAAAAAAATTTTTTGCCAAGCCCGACCCGTTAATTTCAACTTCAGACATTACCCAGCCCTGATAAGGGGCCCGATCAGGCATTCAGATCTCTACTCTCCATTATATTTCACAGCTGATTATTTGATATATTATATAGAATTTTTTTTTAATATTGTCCTAGCAAATATTTGGCCCGGGTCTGCAGGTATTCTCTCTGATAAATAACATATTAATCTTCGGTTTTTTTTTGTTACAGAAGAAAATAAAATAATTAAGTATCAATCAAAAAGGTAAATAAGAACAATTAAATAACAATATTAATAGGATCGTAAAATAAATAACTAATCGAATAAAATTAATTCTATTTTAAATTTTCTATTTTTTAAAAAAAATTATATATATATATATAAAATGTTTATCAAAATACTTTCTTTAAGATAAGTATGTCTGCTCATTAATGTTAAAAAAAATGTGGTCAATATATAATAAATCCTTAGAAAATTTTCCATGGACAACTATCATGAGTCAAACAGGTAAAAAAATTTTAATAATGATTTATTTAACAAGGATTTGAAATGAAGCGAATCGAAAAAACCAGAAAACCCTCATAATTTTCTCAATCGTAACCACTCCTTTATGCAAATCGCTAAATGGAGCTAAAAAACCGTTAACTTAACCGGGTTAAACCCATTTTGTTTTAATATATGCATATTTACATATTTATTTAAATTGACAAATATATTTAATAAATGTTTACTTTCATTTTAATAATTTTTTAATAACTATATTATTCATTTATTTATTTTTCTAGTTAAAATGTTTAGTTATTTTGTTAAACATTGAAGAATTAAATCTTAAATTAACCTTTCCTTTTCTAAATTTATTATAGTCTTTTTTGGCATTTTATTTTATATTTTAAAAAATATATAAATTAAACAATTTAGTTGTATCAAATTGAATTCAAGTTTAAATTATAAATAATGAAGACCAAAGTTTTTAATCCTTATGACGGGCCGAATCTAGCTGATCCTAAAAATAAAATAAAAATTTGGGTCGGATTCGGATCGAATATTGAATTTACAAGGCTCTAGTTCCAAGTTTACTGAGCCCTTCATTCGTTTATTTTATAGTGGTTCTTCAAGAATGTGTTTTAGTTATGAGCATCGATAAAATAAAAAGATCTCTCATCATTCAGATGTTCCTATTATAAATAGTTGTTAGAAGCGATACTAATTTATAGTTTCCTTTTTTTTAAACTCAAAAAACAATTTTATCATCGCTACTTTAACAACGAGAGTTTTAAAAACAATATTTGCATATGTATAATATATTATGCTTTTATTTGCTCTCAAATCCCAATCTAATGCTTAGAATAATGTTCCGATCTTTGGAAGTAAGCCAGCGGGCCTAGTCATGACCTTCAATAATGTAAACTTCCCGTTTTTAAAACTATAATCTACTAATATAATTTTCAAAATTTAATTTTCAGGTCTCCGGTTTTTTTCATAAACTGTTTCATAATTAATCATATTGTTTTTTGTATTCAAAGTTATGCCCATTCCACCTCATTATCATGTCCGATTCTTATATTTATATGGTTACTATTTACTAATCTAATATTTCAGCGGAAATGTATTACGAAAGCCTGAAGATTTTGCTTATAGATGGCAGAAAGGTTTACACTCTATTGACGAAATCTCTAGGTTGCGTAATATTATTTTGGTTAAAATCTTAATATAAAATGGGCTAAATCGAGCCATTTAACAACATTAATCTTGAAAAATTCTTGAAAACATTTACATTATAAATTTATCTAGGTTAAAATGTGAGGTTTCTTTAAGATTTTAATAAATCAGTTTGCAGGAAATCATTTCGAGTAGTTTTTCAAGACTTAATTCTTTGTTCAAATCTTAAAAATTTAGAATTCTTAGGAATTTTAACAAAATTTATAAAACTACATTTAAAAAAATAAATAAGCAAACAACTTAAATAGACAAAAATAAGACTATATATAAAATACAACATATAAGAGGGAGGGGGGGGGGAGGCTCTCATTGAGATGCGAGGGAACTACGATAGTTGCCTCAAAACATGGTCACTTGCGTGAATTTTATTTGTAACATTTTAAAAGAATAGATTACCTTTATTTGAGACATTTATTTACCTTAAAATATTTTAAAAAATGATAGCCTAAGGGGGGCTTAGGAACCCATTGGTGGAAATAACTAATGAAAATCAGAAAAGTGGTGATACTTTCTAATTTTTGACCTTTCAGCTGTAATAATCGGATCAATGTTTGGGTTAGAAAAAAAATTGGGATGCACAAGTGAAATTCCAAATAAGGTGTTTTCCCCTAAACCAAGGAATGTTTGTGTTGATCTTTTCCCAACAGACAGTCATGAGTGAACGGGTTCAAGGAGGTTGTGTAGTTAGTCAACCCTAATTTGTTCTTAATTATGATATTAATATCTCCATGGCGACTGATCCGTTATAAAGGAATTATAAAAAGAATTAATGCTAATCATTATCCTACATATGTTTTATGGTAATATTGTTTTAATTTTAGGTTTTATGTATGGAGTCGGGGACACCTTAGCTCAATCTATAGAAAGATATCAAATGGAAACACCTTACAAAGGTTATTCATACGAAAGAACATTGATTCTGGCAGGATTTGGAGCTTTTAATGCTGTAAATCTCAATTCTCATTTATCTTTATACTTATATAGAGCTAATTAGCTGAAATTTTTTAAGACGCGTAAATTATATATTTTTTAAAAAAAATGAAAGTCTAAATTAAATATAGAATTTATTTTAACCCCATAAGAAATTCAGCTTATCGAATCGAATTACAACACTAAGTACGCTTTATAAAAAAAATAATTTGGATGGGCTCAAATAAAAATTAAAACATTTCCTAGTCATTTATATTTTCAAATGTTAATAATTTCCTCTGAAAGAAAAAATAGTTACATCCAACATGTTTTTGGTGGTTCTGATCTACCTGAAAGAAACAGATTTTCATTTTGTATGCAGAGTCATTTCCAAAAATATATAGATATTTTTTTTATAACTTAAGTTCGAGTTTATTCACTCTTTTTAACGTTCATAGAGGGATTCTATTCAACACCATTTAACAGCTGATCAATTTTAGAAATCTTTTTATGAGATCAAATCTTCTTTATTAATTTTAATTCTAGATATGATAATAATCTAAAAATTATTGATTTTTTTTAAGAAAAATTGATCTCACAATATCGATCAGCTGTTAAATCGTGTCGGATATAATCACAATATGATCCAGTCTTAGAACAATAAGATTTGATGATTATCTTGAGGAAAAAAATGAAAATTAATGGAAGCCTAGTAAAAGAATGAAAACATGGAAGACAGCATATTAAATATATTCATTAATTGAAATCATTCATTATAAAATTTTTATTAAATTAGGTTTAAATCCTTCCAGTTACTTAAAATTAAAATTAGGTCAGAGTCCCCTTTATGCGTATTTATTTTCTTCCCTGCTAAACGATGTTAAAGTTAATTTGGCTTGAATTTGCGGGCAGAGCATACCTTCTCTATTTAGAAAACAATAAATAATAAGCAATATCTTTACTAAAAATTTTGTTAAAAAATTAATCTTAAATTTTGATCATTTACACATTATAAAGTTATTTATTATTTTTAAAAAAATTCTTTATATTGAGTAATCTTTCCAAATTCAACTGTTCACATCAAATTAATTCTGAAAAAAACTCAGGTAACTATCAAATTGACACAAATAACTATAGAATTCTTATTATAAAAAGGGTTATAAACAATACGCAAGTGTAATCAAATGTAATTTGAAAGAGCTTAAAATATTTTTAATTTTAGACATTTATTTATGAGCCTGTTTACTAACTGATTTATGAAAGGTGTTGTGTGTGTAATAATTAGGGAAGTAAAAAATAAGGAAGAAAAAAATAGAAAAATTAGGTTTTTTTTTAAAGTAAGAAACTTGGGAAAATGGAAAATAAATGGTCATAAAATTTCACAAAATGAAGCAGGTTAATGGTGGTGTTAGTGAAAATACAACTAATAAAATATTGGTAGATTATATTTAAGATGACTTTTTATTTGGCCCGGCCCGCAAAATAATTTGGCACACTAGCCTGTTTCACAATTTTTTATGGATATAAACTTACTAAATTTGTTAGCTTTAAAAAACATATACCAACTTCAGGCACAGTTCGTAATATTTTTTACAAGTTGCCTGGAAATCTCTGATTGTGATATCATTTTTACAATTAGAATATTTGCATTAGTATTGTTAAATGGCTCCCTTTGCACCGATTGTTAAAAACATCTTACTGAATATTATCGCGATAAAAATATTGCCTAAGCCTCTAGATTTTGCTAATAGATCAAAAACTTTGTGTCATCTGTGAGTAAATCTTCAAACTTATGCAATATTTTTCAGGATATATTGAGTCAGGCGTTTTTATAAATTGGCTCAAATCGAACCGTTTAACAACACTAGATTGTAGGTTAGTGTTTTTTTTTTAAAAAAAGCAACATGAAAAAAAAAAGAATTCTTCATTGCTTTCAATTTATTTTTAGGGACCCTTGATGAAAATCTGGTACAAGTTTTTAGATAAATCTTTTGGAACTGAAACAAATTTCAAATCCGGGTTTAAAAAGATGGCTATGGATCAAGTAGAATACTATATTATTAATAAAAAAAATTTTTTAGAAATATTAAAGAGTAAAAGTATTTTAGGTATAAAAAGATACAATATTTTTTTTTATTCAATTAAAAAAGTAAAATTTTGTAATCGGTAAGTGAAAATTGAAATTTAGGGATCGAATACGAATAATTTTTTGGGGGCGCTATTTATAATAATTCGAACTTTTTTTGTGTGAAAATTCCTTCTTTTTGATATGTACGGAAACGCTTCGTTTTCTAAGCGATTTGTTTACTTAAAATTAAACTATAATTTCAAATATCGTTGATCCCATCAGTCAATGTCTGTTTCCATCAGCTGAGAAGATGTTGAGAACTTGAGATTATATAGTAATTGATTATAAAAAAAGGACCAAATAAAATATATACCTTATAAATGAAATATTATGCTTTACCATTTATAGATCTTGTTTGCGCCCATATTCTTACTAGATTTTTTAGTCATGACTGAGATAATCAAACATAGAAGCTTTACAACGGTAAATGAAAAGATTGAAAAAGATTATTACGATATCATGGTAACCAACTATAAAATATGGCCAATCGTTCAATTAGTAAATATGTCATTGGTACCTTTAAATTATAGGATATTAGTGATAAATATTGTAGCAGTTATGTTTAATACTTATCTATCATATAGAATAAATAATTAAAATGTGTGTTTGATAAATAGTGTAACTAAATTAACAGAGTATGTTAAAAGATATTTAAAAATGATCTCAAGAAACGGAGCAGAAAATGATTAAAAGAAAAGAAAAATATATTAAAAATAACAACAATTTAAGAAAGAGATGAGAAATTTGAAATATCTTTAAATAATTTATATTCAAAATGCCCATTTAATTTAAATACTAGCAAACTAAACTTATATATAATATTGCAAATCATTATATGACTCAAATGTAAATCGATTCAATTGTATAATGGATATTAAATTTATATTATGTTGACTATCTGATCCACCTGAATTACAACCCCCTGAAATTACAATGACCTAATTGTATAGTACGCCACCCGCGTGTTAGAAGGCTCTGGTAAAAAAATTAAACAAAATAATAGCATCTTAAATTAATTAATTAATCGAATAAAATTAAATTCTATTTTAACTTTATAAAAAATAAAATGTTATCGTTTAAAATAATTATATCGTCTGCTTATATATTATGTTAAAAAAATTATGGGCATTGTATAATAAATCCTTACAAAATTATCCGTGGAGAACTATAATGAGTCAAACAGGTAAAAAGAAATTTATCATCTATGTTTAGTGATAAACAGAGCCTTCTAGCCCCTTAAGACAGACGCTGAGTGAGGCACTTCTGATCACTAAATTATAAAATAATTCAGAATATTAACTATGAAATTTTATTGATGCAATTAATACCACCCCTACCTTCCATTTTAGAAGGGTCTGGTGAAAAATTATATTGGATCATATTTTGTTAATTCTTCACCCCAACCTTCCGTTTTAGAAGGCTCTGGTGATAATTAGATCATATTTTGTTAATTCTTATTATGCGACATAACATAATTAAGTTTTATTAATTATACTATTTGATTACCATCTCATATTTTTTAGAATAAGAAAAAGTATGCGCTAATATTTGGATAATGATATTTATTTATATTTTTTACACGTTCATCCATTATATTTTAAATTATAAAAAGTTATAAGTATTCATCGGACATGCTGAATATAATAGAACATAATATTTAATAACCTGTTGAAATTCATGAACGTTTCGCTTTTTTACAAGTGTTTAAATAGACTACTAAAGAGAAGAGATAAAAAAAATTCCGCGTAAAAATAACCATTTTTTTAAAATAATCAGTTATAAATAGGAAATATTTCGGGTATCAAGTCCGATAAAATGTCGATGATTCATATACATCCTTGCAGATATCTGATAGAAAGTAAATAAAGCTTTTGCCAGGTTCTATAACTTATCGCTACAATTAGGGTTATTATGTACCTTTCCCTACTGTTAGGCCCAAGTGCAGAAACCGTTCCTCTATCATTATGGCCCATAAAAGTACCATCATCTGGCGTATATCTGTAAAGGTCCTCTCTTCTTAATTACTGAAAAATTTTAAACTAATATAAATTAGTGAACTAATCCTTTAATTATTTTTACTCATACTTTCAATCGCTATTTGTAAAGCACTAAAAAAATGTTTATAAAATATAGTTTTGTAATTGTGTTTTCTCTTGCGAATCCTATTTTTATAAATAGAATAAGGAACATGGTTCGCTTGTTGCCCCAGAAGACCTCATTCTTCTTTGTTTTTAAATCTTACTTAACCCGGTACTGCAAGGACATATTTAGAATGCAGAAAATTGGTCACCATATATTTTCCTACGATTTATACTTATTTAATAATAAAAAATTTTATTACTCAATAATATAAAATTATTATAAATACAATTAAAACAAGGAATATATAATTTAAAAAAATAAAAATTGTGAATTCTACTTTTGAAACGATACCCACTGCCAAATTTTTGTTTGCCAACAAGCTTCGTTTTAAAATTAGTCCTAATTTCCTTTGTAAAGGTTCTTGTTCATAATGGGGTCCACAATTAATTAATTTGTATTTCCAACATTTGTAATAAGATTTTCATCATGATTATATTAGAATCCTTTTCCAATTTCTTGTAAATCAAGGTATCTAATTTTATTTGATTGGTTCAAATTTAGCTCCTATTTTAGTTTTAGATTTTAACTATATCAATTTAAGAATTGTTTCGATTATTTATAACAAAAATAAATTTTGGCTAAAGTTCTTAAAAATAATGAATTCTAGAGATTTTAAGGAACATTTAAAAATACCATAATAATCTCTTAGATCATCAGACCCGTAGCCAGGAAGCTTCATTGAGATGGGAGGGGAAGGGTGATTTTAGGGCGAATATTTTTTTACAAGTCACTTGTAGCAAATCTGAAGGCTTGGGGGTTCGACTCCCCTCTAACCACGGGTCTGAGTTATATTAGGCATTGAAGCAATAGAGATCAGGTTTGACTTATATGGTTATGATGATGAATATTTGTTGCTTAAGATAAAAGCATACATTTGGATTTCATGTTTTTGATGAGATGTTTAGGCTTAAAAATTTTTATAGCTTCAAGGACTAAAATTGACTAAAATGATAGTACGAAAGAAATAATAGGGAAAATTTAAGGCTAATTACTTCTAGTGGCGTAAAAAAAGGAAGCGGAGGATCATTAAACCCCCCTATTATTATTTTTTCATAATGATATATAAACGAGAGCCCTCACTTAAGTATTTTAAATAAAATATAACAAATTTTTTATCATAATCGCTTAGTACTTCTATATTTTTCGTTCTATCTTAAATATTTTGAGGACTAATAAACTACGCTTTAAAGCACTAAACCAAAATGTATACTAATTAAGAAGCATTACATATTAACATAAGCAAAATTTGGCAAACCATGCTTAAGACTGCGTCGTAATATGAGATTGAAAATATAACTCGATTAAAAATATGAGATGTTAAATATTTTATTTCTATATATAAGATAAAATAAATAAAAGATTTCGAATCGATGAAAAATGCGTCTTAATTTTCTATGTAATTGATTTGTAAATTGCAATTCTAAATCCTATATCAAGATGATGCTTAAGGTATATCGTTATAATTTTTATTTATCTTATAACTCGGTTTCTGTTTTAGTGACTGGCATAACTAATTGATGAATGAATATAAGTAATAAATAAGTATTGGCGCAATCCATATATACTTATAATAATTATTTGGCATATTGCCGATCTTTTCTTATTTTTTAATAATGCTTTTTAAAAAAAAACAACCAAACGTTGAAGCATTAAAATTTACTAAATATTAGCTAATTATTGATTTAAGTGAAATTCCCCAATTTTTCTAGTTTGACTGACTTCAAACTAAGGCATAATATCATGGTTTTCATTTTCCTTATTATTCATTATAGTTGCAAGAATTGTTGAAGAAGCATAACAGTTATGGCAATTTGTTTCTTATTTTACCAATAATCTTTCACTAGATTAAAGCATTAAAATGTACTATTAAGCATCACTTAATGGTTAAGTATAAGTTCAGAATTAGTGTTTCCAAAATCTTGGCATAATTCAAGCTATAACCGTGATGTCATAGTTTACATTTTGTTTATAACCACATTTTTTGTTTGGGTGGCAGAACTGGTAAAAGAATTAATAGTGCTAATCATACATTAAATATTTGCGTATACCAGATTTTTAGTGCTTTTATATTTCCCATTCTGGCATGATGTTTTTCTTATTTCTATCTACCAATCCTAGTAATAAAATTTTAAGAATATATCCTTTTCTATACACTTTTCGTAAAGTTGGCAAAATTTTATTGGATATAAAAAAAAAATCCTTATGCTGGCTACTATACTGCTTGAGGCACTACTCATAGTTACTAATAAAGCATAAAATATTAATTGAGATATAAGAATTATGTTATTTATTTTTCGGCCAACTTCACGGAGATAATAAAAAGATATTGCAAAATTAAAATGACCACGTGTAAATAAAAAATATTTTAAACAGGAATACTTAATTGGAATTTAAAAAAATATTTTACTCTGACCGGTCTAAGACCGGGGAAAATAGGGATTGGGAAAAACCCTCTTCCCCCCCCCCCCCGCATTCCCATTTTTTTAAAAATAACTGAATTATACTTCCTCTTTTGATACGCTACTAAGGTAACTTTATTTTTATTTTAGGAATTATGTACGGAATCGGAGATATAACAGCTCAAACTATAGACAGGTATAAAAAGGGAGCACGCCACTATCCCCATTCTTATAAAAGAACTGCGATCTTGATAGGATTTGGAGTTTTCAATGCTGTAAGAAATTTTTTTATCTTATATTAAATTCACTAGAATAATTAGCCATTTTTTAGTGTGCAGATTATATAAAAATATGAAAGTGTTAAATTAAGTTCTAATTATATCCATAAATACTAAACTATTCCTCGCGATGTCCGCTTTAAAAAGAAAGAAAAAAAGCCAAATCTTTAAAAAAATGTTGAATTGGCTTAATTAATAGTTAAATTCTCCATAGTCTCTTTGCCCTCTCAATAAATTTTAAATGTATAATAGGGTTTGTTGAAATTTCTTCTTACGAAACTTTGATCTAGTTTCAACCAATCTTAAAAAATGAACATATATGGATCCTCTTTTTTTTTAACAAAAAAAAAATAAAAAAATAAGAGGATCTATATAAGAACCATGTGCCTTTTTTTGGGTGACTGACTCCCGCAAAATAAATAGATTTCTTTTGTCTAGTGCTCGGGTTTAAAGAAACAACTAAATGCGAGTTCGCCAGGTCCAGAATATTCCAGTTTAACCAACATGATTTCGGACCGATCAGACTTGAACCTGTCACTCTTTAATAATATATATGAAAGAAGGCTCAATATTTTTTAAATGTAGGATTTAATCAAAGTGATATAGATTTGGTTGATATCTCGAGAAAAAATACCGTGTATAACAGTAAAATTTATTTGCCAAGGCAGAGATTACGATTATAACGCTGTCTACCTAGATTTAATTTGAGTGCCTGAATTGTTTTATATTTGAGTCATATATTTTTCTTAATAGCATGCCTCTAAATCATGTAATAAAAGATGGCACTGATTTAGAAAAGCGTGTAACAAATATATGTCCTACTAATATTTAATCATTAGGGACCATTGATGAGAAGTTGGTACTCGTTTTTAGATAAATCTTTTGGAACTCAAAAATCGTTCAGATATGGGTTTAAAAAAATGGTTATAGATCAAGTAAATTATATTTATTAGTTGATATTTTCCCTATGAAAAATTAAATATAAGTTATAGGATAAATAACTAAAGTGGAATACAATATTTTTCATTTACTAGAAAAATCAGAAAATTTAAATTTGCGAATCAAATAATCTCATATCAAATTTTTTAAATTTCTTGCTTGAAATCCATCATTTTTTTTTGAATAAAAAAACCCTTTATTTTCCGTTTCCTTGAGATTTATTAATTCATAAATAAGCTATGACCTAAATATCGTTCGTCATCGCTTACCAGTCGAGATCAGCTTTCATCTGCTATGAGGAAGTTGTTAGGAATATAAATTTTCCTTTGTAAAAACAAGCAAAAAGGGAGTTAAGTAGAGAATTTACTTATAGCAAAATATATATAACTTTTTTTCTATAATAAAAATATTATGATTTATAGGTATTTTTTGCGCCGATATTCTTACTAAATTATTTAGTCACGCCCGAGATATTAAAAAATGGAAACTTTTCAACGATTGATCAAAAGATTGAAAAGGATTATATATATATCATGAAAGCCAACTATAAAATATGGCCATTCGTTCAATTAATAAATATGTCAATGGTACCTTTAATCTATAGGGTATTGGTGACAAATATTGTATCATTCATGTTTAATACTTATATATCTTATACAATAAATAAATAAAATACGTATTGCATGCAAATTAACTCATATCTTATACAATAAAATGTGTTTTAGTGTAAATTAAATCAGCAGTTGTTTAAAGAAATGTATTTAATAGATTAGGATGCTTAAAATTTGTCGAGCCTAAGATGCCAATATCAATATAATCAAAAATATAACGAAATATATATAAAATGATATTCGTTTATATTTACTTTTATAAAAGAAATCATGACATATTGCCAATTATTATTATTTAAATTTCGGAGTGAATCAAATAAACAGCAAATAGTTTTTTCAAATTAATTTTTTATTTTTCAACTGAAAAAAACTTGTTAAAAGAAGTTGAAAAGGTCCATGCTAATAGCCAACCTTTGCCACAAGCAAAATCTAAATTAGCGCTGGTAGCGATTACCGATAACAATGCTGGAATTACAAAAATGGTAGAGAAATGTCAGCAAAAATAAAACGACTAAAAAAATATTTGTATTGTCTTATTAAGAAGAGGGTAAATAATTTGGGAGAATTTTCCCCATTTTTAGTTGTTCCTTTGAGGTTTGCAATTTGAGCTGCCAACCCCTATATATCTCAGTTAAAAAAATACTAACCCTAGAATGTACTTATTTTAGAAATTCAACATATACTTAAGACTCCTCAAAATTCAGTTTTCACTATAATTACATAAATTAAATATTAGATTAATATAATTTAGTATACTTAGAATTAGGCATTAGTGATCTTAGATCTTACCGATAGGGAACTTTGCGGTTTAATATAAAGTTCCTTTTCATTATTGACACAGATACTTTTACAATAGTGTGGATCATATATTGTTATAAACAAAGATTATATCAATAGATGCAGCATGGCGATTCTTAAACAAATCTGTGACTTACCCTTAAAAAAAAAAATTTATTGTACAAAAAGTTTTTAAATTTATTATCTATATCTTCTCAAAAGTTTCGTGGACACATTGTAACAAAATAAGACATTTCATAAAACTTAGTTTTCAAATTTTTTATTATCTTATCAGCATTTAAGTTTCACACACATATTAGAATAAAATACGATAAATAATTACATTAATTTTACAATATATATATATAAAATAAATAAATATAATGCTATATTAAGCCTCGGAACTTTTTATAGTCTTCAAGATTCATAGATTTTTTAGTGTTAGAAGCATCAGGTATTTTTAGGGGTGAGTTAGCTATATTATTGATTATATAATCAGGTTTTATATTCGAGGAGTCATATGATTCCACTAAAAAAATAAATATTTATATATATTAGTTTTATATCAATACTTGACATTGACGGTATTCCTAAATCAATTTTTATGTCGAAATTATGAACTTCATATAAATCGTGAGTAATAGTCGAATTTTTATGAGAATCATTTTTCAAACCCATGAAATTATCCTTACTTATATTGGTATAAGAATAGGTTTGTTCTGTAATCTTTAAGCTCGAATTCTAAAAAAATATTTGTATATAATTTAAATAAATCGTGTAAATATATTTAAATACCGTTTTATGTGTATTAATGGTTTTAGATTGGGTCTTGGTAAAGCTAAAAGAAAAAAATATATAAAATACTTGTGATTTGCGTATATTATTACTTTAAATCATTGGTATTAGGATGCTTTGTGGATTTGAATTGATTCGTTTTAATATCGATAGATCGAGATGGCAATATATTGGGCATTTCAAAATTATCGTCTCTCTTTTTCGTCACTAATGTTGGCAGGCATTTTCTTCTAGTAAATGGGTCATCTTCATTAAGAGCGGATGTAGATTTATTAATATAATCTTCCTAAAATTATTTTACATAAATAAAAAAATCCTTTTAATTTATATTATACCATATTGGCCTTTTCGGATTGAATTATATTTTGTTTGCGATTTCTTTGGTTAATATAGCTAACAAAAATATTTGACATATTTATTTCGATAATAAAAAATTATAATTAAATGTTTATTTATTAAAAGGAAGTTAGTGAAGTAAAGAAAAGTATCAAGGCTGTGTCATGGTTCGATTTAAGTTTAAAACTTAGTTATTGTTTAGCCTAGACTACTGAACAGCTTCTGATTTAGGACACCCTATTTGGTTTGTTTTATTTAAGTATTTGGTGACATTTCTTTTGTAATATTTTCAAAAGTTTTTCTTTTGCTTTTTAGAGTGTTTAGTAGATACTAAATAGCCGGTTAAACAACCGCTGTTTAAGTAATAAATCTAACCAGGATATACCCTAAGGATAATTATTAGTTTGTTTAAATAAAAGCAAGTTATTAGAAATTTTCCCCCATTCGATTCTTTTCATAGAATTTAAACCAGAGTTTGAAAAAGATTTTTGCTCAATTTTTTTTTCAAGCTCCTATTAAAACATAATTTAGAGAACGACGTACCTAACAGCGCTCAAGCTGCTGTTCCTCAAGCGATCCAATTCTGTAGCCTTTATTTCCAATTCTTCCAATTGTTGTTTGATTTCGAAAACTTTTTCATCATCGCCTAAAGATTCCGCCTCTTCCTAAAGTTAAAAATAAATATATAATGTTAAATGATTAAGAGACGGGCAATCATTTAAGAATTGTTTAATATACAACATTATTGAAGCCTAAAATATAGTAAACTCATGAATTCACTGTGAAGGCTGGATCAATTATTGGAACAATTTATTTTTGAAAATTTATAATTTTTTTTATATAATGAGAAAAAATTTAAATCTTAGTAGAGATGTAACTAAAATGATAAGATTTTGTGTGTTAACCTTTCCCGGTGCAAAAAAAACATTCTGATAATTTTTTCTTTGTTATAAAAGTTTCGTTTTTATCTATAAAAATAAATAAAATATATTTTAAATTTTTTTACGTGGTATCATATGGATACACCTCCCCCAGCCAGCCCAGAATTCATAAAAATGTTCAAATAAGATTATTAAATTTGTTTTAATCTCAAAATTAATCATTTTTCTTTTTCAAGTATTAGTAAATTGTAATGATAAAAATATTTATATAATATTTTGGTGATTGCAATAAAGATGATCTATGAGCATAAAGTTTAAATTTAATATTTTGTAAGTGGTTTCCAATTCATTTTATCCTACCTGAAAGGGTTAAGAAATCAAATTGGTAAATTATTATAAACAGGAAAGCTATTTATAAGATTAGCGGGTTTTATAATGTAATATTTATTTTGAAAAATGGAACAGGATACATCAAAAAGATTTAAATAATATTTTATTAATAATTATCAGAGATCTGCAGGCCCATACCAGAGTGGTCCGGGGAAAATCGTAGGATATTAAAATGCCGGACAAACCCTAATAATATATTACAAAACCTAGTAGGATAATGGTTACTATACAGGTCTTTAATAATAGCATTAAATTCTTTAAAAAAAATATTTAAAGTTATGTCATATTTTATTTTTTATTCATATGTGAAACCTTTGTCTTGAGGAGAATGCTCTTTTTCATAGCGAAATTATATGGATTCTTTTTAAAACGTAATTTTTCATTTATTATCTAAAATCATTAATAAGATTTACATTTGGAGAAAAAAATAATTAACTTTATCAACATCCTCTTCTTTAAAGCTATAATTGAGTGCTGCTTTAATATCCCTTTCCTTTTCCAAAATGTGATTCGTATCTGGTAAACTAATGTTTGACAAATTTATAGCATCTTTCCATTTTAAAAATTCGGAATCCGTAAAATCACTATTAGAAACAAATTCGAGCCTAAAAACTTTGCTTTCACTACCATGCCTTCAAACAAATAAATAAAAAATTTATCAATATATTTTCGTGTGAATTATTTTATAATATATATTTTTTAAAAAATATATATTTAAAAAAAACATAAATTATTTGAATCGATTATAAAAACAAATAGTAAATTTTATTAATCGTATGATAAACGAATCGAACCCGAATAATTCACTATTCCATTCGTATTTTAAAAAGCCTAACAAGGTTATCCATTGTATGTATTTTAAATTTATCCACAGATATTAATAATGGTTATCGATCAGTGCTAATATTTTAAAATCACAAGGTGATATAGATTTTTAAATAAATAAAAATTCCATAAACACCGCTACCACTTTTGTTGCCTATACCGATATTGTAACAACCGATACAATTTTATTTATGAAATATAATCCAAAAAAACATGTCAAAAAACATGTTTATTAAAAAAAAATATTATAAAATTTCTTCTATAAAATACTTTTTAATATTAAGTCATCAAAATATTCTGGTAAAAAAATCATGTAAATGCTCCAGTAAAGTTTAATAAACCCCAAAATTAAGGATATCTCCATTTTTATTCGTAATTTGAATTTTATATTTATAGAAGTAAACCTAAAACTTTATAAAATATTTATTTTAATTTATTATACTTATAAAAAGATGAGGATAATTATAACTTTGCCAAATACTATCTAAAAAAACAAATTTTTTCTAAACTTTAAATTATTAAGTATAAAAAATATTATTAGAAAAGGTATTTCATAAAAATAAAATTTATAAATAGAAATTTTTTTAAAAAAAATCATATATTAATTAAGGTTTAAAAAAACTTAAGCAAACACACTCTTGTGGGATTTGCCAGACCCAAATCCATCACAAATGGCGTATATTTGAAAAACTATTGAGCCAAGAATTAATGAAATTTTGAATATATATTTTAAAATAAATTTAGATGAAGTTACTAAATTACCATGTTTAAGTAATATTAATCTTAACGCGCTTGGGAATATATACCACAATAGAGTATCAAAAGATTAAAATGAAGTGTGTAAGATTAAAGTTAATTCTGCAATAAACTATTTTTTAAGTTAGGAAAACAATGTTTCCATATTTTTTCCGTATCTGTTCAGGAATTTGTTGATAATTTTCAAAAACAGCTAACTCATCTGGCGAAAATGCTGAGCTAATCGTTTTTAAAAATCGGCTTAAGTCGAGCCTTTTAACAACATTGATTTTGGGTATCTGCAACTGGTAACAGTTTAACTTGAAAATATAGGTTAATATTAATTATGTTGCTTGTTTAAATAGTTAATAATTTAAATGGAAAAATATACCTTAACTTCAATCCTTTGTTAGTTCTTGTGGCTCCCAATTGATAAATTTTAGAGGTTTCAACAGCATCCATTACTTCTACAATCTATTTATTTTAAAAAAATTAGGTTATTTAAATGATACAGACGATATATTTATGGAAAAACCCTATAGATTGGCTTTCCTTCATGTTGCCCAATACCGACACGCAAAAAACAACCTTTAACGGTTTTTTCGAAAAAAGGCATATGAACCCATCTTTTTTTTAAATAAACAATTTATTTTAAATATATTAGATATTATAATTTTTGAAATAAATAAGTAAAACCATAACAATTTGTAGCAAAAAATAATATATATTTTTCTAAATATACTTTTCCAATTTGTTTCTTGAGAGCCTTATTTTGCTGAGCTGCTCTCGGGTTGTTATCAATTCGGCTTTGCTTTCAAGATTGCTAATATAAAATTAATTTTTAAAAGAATTAAGTTCATAATTGATTTATCCAATTTAAAGAAACTCTCTTTTCAAAAAAAGGATAGTCGATACAGACAATTCGGCCCTGTATCGTTTGGGTTGATTGTAATGTTACTTAATAATTATGATAATCTCAAAGCAATATTATAAAAAGATGAAATTGGTGGTATATATGAGTATTTTACACCAACCTAGTATCTTCATAATCAGAGGAAGACTGGGATGATATATCAACGGTGGCCTTATCACTCTGAGTTACTATTTTTGCATCGTCGGAAGATGTCGTAGAATCGTCGTCGGAATAAATATCACTCGGTTTCAAGTGGGGTTTAGTGGTCGGGGTCTGCTTTAATTTAGACGAAGTGTTTTTTTCTAAAGCTGAGCAAATTAATTTGAATAAGATAGTTTATAAAAAGGGGTATATTTTGAATCATTTTAGTTTTGCAAATAGATAAGTATATTTAATAATGTACATTTTTATTGTTATTGAATTAACAATTTTTGCCCATTATTCTCTACCAATTTCAAATTCATTTTAATGACATTTTATAGCCTAGATTATATTTTTTAATATTTTTTTTAGAGAGGAACAATTAATAATAAAATAAATCTTTCTTTTATTTTTTAGAACCATTGTATAAATGTAAAAATAAAAATGCAAATAAAATCCTTAGTGATTATTTCAAGTTAAAATGGACATATATATATATATATAATTAGTGTTGTTAAACGAAAAAAATGGCTATCCCAATATATTATAGTCAGACATATTAGGCAAGCTTGGAGATTTTGCTCATAGATGGTAGAAATGTTTGGACATCTATTAACGAAATCTCATAGCTTGGATCTTATTTTTTGGGTAAATATTTGGTAGGGCGGTTTTAAGAATCGAGTTGTATAATCAACAGTATATATAATGCACCTTTCTTTTTTTCTTCCCGTTTGGCCTTTAAATCCTGGATAGCCTTATGTATTTTGTTATGCTTGCCAATTTTGTTCAATTCCAAAACTCTCCGACTATTCCGACTTCTTTGTTGTATGATGTTTGAATCTGAAATTAATTAAGATATTTTGTTTAAAATCAATAAAATAATTTTCATCAAAATTAAATGCCACTCTAACAAGCCCAATCTTACATTAAAACATAAATAAAAATGTTTTTTTCAGAAATAACTTGGGACAGGTGTAACCTTTGGAAATTTTTGAAAAAAAGTTTTTTTTGCAGGTTCTAATAAAATAATTATATAAGTTTTCTGGCCTCAGCCCGTAATAATTTATAACGAAAAATAAATTGCAAACTTGTCTAATTTCATAAATAACAAAAAAGCCAAAGTTAAAAAAATAATGATTTTCCTAATTTTATTTAGATTTTATTCTTTTAAATTATTTTTGATCTGGAAGTATTGATATGAATTAAAATATTTTTGCTTTAATTTTAAATTATTAATAGGTATATTAGAAAGTTTTTAATATAAATTTTTTTTGAACTGGTGTTATTTGGGCATACCATTTTTAGGATAAGGTCACAAGAATTGAAGTGGAAAAGTCTAAAACAATGGGTGATACTTGACGACAAGTATATGGCTGGTATAATAAAAAATTTTCTCTGTTTTTCCTCTAAATCTTCTACTTAGTCATATATACATCCTAACTTAATATTAAAATTGATTTAGTTTTTAATTATTAACTAATTATTTAATATTCAAAAAAAGTAAAAAAGGGTTTTTTGGACCTTTATCCCTTAATATCTATATTATCATAAAAGTTAATTAAGTTCAAATTTCATTTCTGATCTAATTATAACCCATTTAATCCTCATATTAATTTTTATAAAAATTGAAATATTAAGCCAACCTTTCCTCTTTGATTTGCTATGGAATGACCCAAAATCAGGATTTAGGACAAAATAATTGTAGTAATTATGTATTTTTTTTTATCTTAAATTTGATTTTTTACTCAAATGTCAAGGATTATGTTTTATTGTTATATTTTTAAAAAAAAGATATCAATATATGTTACGTTAATAATAAAAAAATAAATATTTCATTCTTTGAAATTATAATATTTAATAAAAAAGATATTATATACATAAAATTGTGTGCCCAATATTATAAAGAAATTAAGTATACACTTATGAAAGAAATTCAATTGGTCATTTATCAATAACAATATTACTGAGCCTTGAGATTTAGCTACTATGTTCATGTGAACTATAAGCACAATCTTCAAGTTTGGGAAATATTTTTTTAACTTAAATTTTTTTTTAAATTGGCTAAATGGAGTCAATTAACAACACTTATATTTTTAGATGTTGTATAAAATTTTAATGATTAGAATAAAATATTTTAATTTATATAATTATTCTTTGGGCTAGACCTAAAATAAATAATTTTGATTAATGAATATGAATAACATTGTTTACAAAATTTAAACCAAACATGTATAATGAGAATATTTGTCAAATAATAGCCTCTTCACAATTCAATCACATTTTTCAAAATTATTCTAAACTAAATGAAATTGAGCATAATTTTTTGTTTTTAAACTGCATTAATAGTTTTAAAAAAATGCCCTAATTATAATGATTAGATCAAGCTAAGTTACTCCACTGATGTAGTCAATGTAAAATAATATTGTAATTAATTCAAGTCATATTATGTACAATGCCTTTTTTGTTGCATAAAACAACATAGCTACACTTGGACTCTCTTATTTTTGATATATCACTTAAATTGTAAATTTTTATGGTATATTTTACTGATGAATTTAGAAAGACAATATTATAAATAATCAAACTTTTTAATCCTCCCTCATCATCAGAATTGAATGATGGCTCAAAATCAGAATTAGATGTAGTGGATCCATCAGAAAATGAAGAATTATTCAATTTTGTACCATTTTTCTTGTGTTGAGGTGAAATATGTAATTTATCATTTTTAAGTAATGCTAGTCTTTCTGTTTCTTTCATTTTACCAACTTTTCGCAATCGTTTTTCAATATCAAACCTTATAAAATGTTAAATAATATTAGAGACTGAAAAGAACATTAAAAAGTGATAAAAATACAAATTATCAAAAAATTTCAACTATAATAAATTTGAAAATTTTATAAATTTGGAGTTCAAGAAAACCTTGCTTTTAGAACTTCTCGCTTTTCTAGCCGATTAAATATCTCTTGTTCACGTTCTTTTTCAGTCATTTGTTCCAATCGTAATCTATCTTCTTCATCACCAATTAGATTCTCATCATATCCATCATTAAATTCTTCCTCATCACTACTACTATCACTTATATCTAACCATATATTAAAAAATAATAAATAAATATAATATTGTGTCTTCTTTAATGAATATGAAGTAATACTTACTATGCCTTTATTTTACAATGTAAATTTAGAAAAATATTCTCAGATTTTGTAATAAATAATGTATTTAACTTCTTTTAATTTGAAGCTTTTGCCTTTTCTTTTTAACTTTTGATAGGTTGCGTTTTTCCTTTCCCCACTATTTTTTTTTATGTAGTCAAATAAATAAATAATCATATACTTCTTCACTCTCAGTGGTAGATGTTTCAGAATCTTGGGGTGATCTTATAATTTTACGCTGGTACAAAATAGGTTAATAATATAGTTATAAATTACCTTTTCAGATTCGTTTTTCATTGCAATGGATGGTGTTTACCGATGTTTTAAACGTTATTCATCTTTTCTCAGAAAACCTTTAAAACTCACATTTTAAAATTTAAAATATGACAGGCATCATTACACGTCATTTTTCTGTTCAGAAATTTGTTACTTGAATATCTTTCTAGCTTTAATTTATGAATAAATTTTCTTTTATCTTTATAATTTTTATTTATACTGGTAAAATTTATTCTCATATCTATCCAAAACTATTTGAAATTAATATTCGAAAGATCGACATTATTTGGTATATTGATGAAGAATTGTATATTATATGCAAAACATTGATTTTAAATAATAATTGTACTTATACATCATTTATGAACATGACTTTATACCATGTAAAGAGTTGTAATATTTTAAAACATAAAAATATCGTAATGATTCCTTTAAACAAGAAGGAAAATCATGATTATAACAAAAATATATCAAAATGCTGTAATATGCATCAAGAATCAGAGAATGAAGTGAGTATTTCCAAAGTTACCTCAAACATTTTGTTAAGCAAAATTTGTAATCATTCAGCCATTAGACTTTATATAGAAAAGTTAAATCTCATTGAAGGATTTATATTAAAACAAAGTATTTTTGATATATACCAAAAACCAGGAAAACATTTGAATATTCCACTAATCTCCTCAAAATTATCTATCATTTTGGATATGGGTGAAGAGTATCAGGTATAATAACTCAAATTAAATATAAATTATTTATTTGAAAAATTAACTGATCACTTTAATTTAGCTTGAAATGAAAATAGCTTATATTTTATTGATAAAAAAAGTTTGATAATTTTTTAATATAATTTTTCAAACAAAAATATATATTCTTAATAGATATTCTACTCACTTTTGCAATTTTCTAAGCCTGTTCCTGCAAGAATGGTTTTTGATAAATATATAGATCAATTTACCAACAAATCTAAATGGACCACAATAAATATTATAAACAATACCTGCAATATAAGTCAAATAAATACTATGCTGCACCAAGATTGTCAAACATTTCAAAACCCTAAAAAGTTTATTCTTTTTTTTTAATGAATAAGTGGTTCCAGCATACTATTTTCTTGTGTTTAATTTGTTTAGTTTGAAAATGAATTAAAAACAAATATCCTTATATTTAGTTCTAGATATCAGCAAGACATTATTATTTTTTAAAAGTTTAGCCTAGTTTATAATAATTTTAGTCCAGCCCAAGATTTTTACTCAAATTGCCTCAACCTTTTTTTTAAATCAAATATTTTTATGCAAAGTAAAAAATCTTTTGTAAGTTAAAAAGAATTGTGGGCAGAAAAATGTTGCTTAGCTTGTCTTAATATTTTAAACCCAGACATATGAGCTGGGTTTTGGGTCATGTTATGCGGGTCCTTGTTTAGTGCTGTGCTTGGCTATCCAAAAATGGATACATTTAATAAATTTAATATTTGATTTTTTTCAAAATAACTGCTGATATCTTAACATTTTATCCATATCATTGGCTGATTATAAAAAATATTTGCTTATATAAAGATTGAACTACCCAAAATTTGTTTATTTTTTAACCTTATTTGATGATATTTAACATTTATTTTGGGCTAAATATGCCACCTGGGGGGGGGGGATTTTTTTAAATGATTGATATAAAAAAAATTTGTTTTATATAATTTTGTCGAGGTTCTATATAAAATACTATTTTTTAATATTAAATTGCTTTGATTTCAGCTCTTATCACCAGGGTTCTGGACTCGAATTTGCTTTCTGGATTTTTAAACTCATTAGCTAAAATTTGATATCAAAAACTTAATCAAAAAATCGATTTTCTAAAAGAGGTCTAACCTGCCCCATTAAGATAAAGTGAAATTATGTTGAATCATTTTCAAATAATTTATTATTATTATTTATTTATTAAAATAATAAGTTAAAAATGATATAAATTATTTTTACAGTGAATGTTAGAAAACAAAGTAATATAATTTTTTGAAAAACTGATGCCTCTGTTATTTTTACTAAATTTTTTCAGACCTTATTTTTCTGGAGAGTAAACCAGAACCAGTGTTTAGAGATTATTCACTAAACAAGAACCCAAACCCATTTTTTTCGAAGAAGGGTTCACAGCCCTGATTTACACATTGAATTTTTTTAGTTTATTTTTCACAATATAGACATGACTTATATAAAGTTGTCAATATTACCAGTATCATCAACAAATCATTGACCAATAAGATTAGAATTACATTAACCTGGGATTTCTATCAGCCCAATAAAACAAAATTTTTTATCCTCCAAGATGTAGCCCTTGTAGGGAGGTATATATAAAATCTTAATATGATTATATTAATATTTTTATATATTTTAAACACTCATATAAGTTGTACATTTTTAAAAGATAATGCATAGTGAATTTATTTAAAAAATATATTAATAGATGTCATTGTAATGGGATGGCCTCAACCTGTAATACATCTATTTTTCCATACCAATGCAATTGCCTTAAATCTCATCTTAAATACTCAAATCCTTACAAGGTATGATATAATTAGTATATATAATACTTCATTTTTGTTTTGCTTTTCTGCAGTGCGAAATATCACATAATAATGCTACAATAATGGCAGATGAAAATGTTAATAAGTTTGATTTCGACGAGTCATTCACTATTCCCTTTTCCAAATATACTGATGCTAATGAAACAACTTTACGTCAGTTTGGTATTTTTGGACATACTTTCCGTGGTAATTATACCAGGAATTTAAATGTAAATGATATTAAAATTAATTAATTTTTTTATTAAAATCTAATATGAAAATTATAATGACATCTGATATATTTAATAAATAAGAAGGAATAATTCTCTCTGTGATTATTTTTTTTTCTTTTCAGACTACATCCTATTACATGTCTCATAGTAACTCATCCGATTATCAAAGTAAATTCAACGATTCAAACTTTAATTTTAATAGCATTACATTTGGGTGGAATGAAATTCTAGATGCTATTTACCTAAATAATAAATCACGCATCTATTCATACAATTTATCGCGGATCAACCTTAATGTTATTAATAAATCTTCGTCATCGTCGTATTCAATTTTGATGTATGCTAATGCACCATTAAATCAAACGGCATATTTTACGATAAATTCCCACATATTAAATTACCAAAATTTTACAAACCCGGAAGTCCATACTAACGGACAAGTTTTAACGACGAATATGGCACTGGGGGATGCCGAAAATTGGCCATTAACGGACAGACCACCCCTCTTTTCTACTATGGATCATGTTCATAAAAGATATACGTCATTGTCGTTTGGGAGTATGAATATATCTCGGTTATCACCTATTCTAAACGTATCACCTCTAAAAACGGAACCTATATTAAAAGTTGTGCCTTTTCACACGGTGGAAAATTTATATGATGCTAATGATAACTCTCCGACACAGAATTTCCTGTCAACAATTACATCTTTATCTTTGAAATGGAAGCAGTTTTATAATTTTACACCTAATTATACTTTTAATGAATCGAAATTTTTTTTTGCCACTCATAATATCTATCATCAAACTAATAACGAGACAATGACAAATAGGTCATCTTTTCATATTGTCGAAAATTTTTTGATCGACAAAGGTCAATTAAACCCTACATTGGATCTGGTTAATATCGGAGAAAATTTAACTCGCTCTAGGACTATTTCGACTTGTCCCTACCAAGAAATTTTAATGCACCTTGTTGAATTTAATTATTTAGGAGAGAAGGAATTGTGCGATATAATTAGTCAAAGTGATGACAATTAATTATACACCTTTTTAATGTTATTTTTTCTCTCTTTCCAGATAACAATAACTCTAGTTTTATACGAGATATTAAATATATTTGTTTACTTAGTGGTGGCATAAATAGGCTGTACAAAGATCAAAGGTATATTAAATAACTTATATTTAGTCATTTATATATATACATTATATTAGAGTATATATTCGAGGTTTGCAATGTCGCTAACAAATTTAAGAATTATTTTTAAAACAACGGGCGGGTTAATTTGAAATATTTTTCGGGCGAAATCTTTAGATAAATTGGTAAGCGCGAGTATGAATCATTATTAATAAAACCATGGACTAGCGGGTTATTTTTTAAAACAATCAGCAGTCTGGCGTTCGGGTTAAAACCCTCACATTGCAGACCTCTAGTATAAATACGTAAAGCCCAGTCGATTAGTCGCGGCTCGAGCCTAGTTTCTAGTGTGAAACATGACTCCGAATCGAGTCGATTCACTTTGTAGCCTCACATAGTCTGCCAGCTGATCTTGAAAAGTATTTTTATTGTTTTTTTTATCAAAAAATTTCTAAATTATACTTTTAGTAAGTCATGATATCTGCTAGTGTCCACATTTATAATATTTTTATGAATTATCATGTTTTGAAATGGAACTTATTACATAATTTTTAGACCTTCTCCCAAATTTAAATTAAATATAAAATAAGCCTAACCCTGCATTCACAATTAGCGTGAATTCGCGTCTCGCGAATTTGCGCTAACTCTGAATGTAGTGTAACCAAACCCAGAAACCTGAATTAAAGGAAATGAACAAAATAGTTCAAATGCATATTTGTAAAATAATGCAATCCAACATTTTATATCAGTCATAGAGAAATGATGAGTTCATGATTTTGATATGAAAAAAACATTCAAACAAAATGCCAAAAACATAAATCTTCTTAAAATATTTTATTAGATGATAGTAGCATGCAATATCCTAAGTTACATTCATCTATCACACCCTAAAACCTTCCCTTTAGTTATTTATCCACAGATTACACCACAAGTTTATTACCTGTACTCTTTACATTCAAAAACATAAAATATGGGAGAACGAAATCTTTTAAAATAGTGCTAGACCATAGATTTAGAAATTAAGAGGTCTAATTTATTAAATTAAGAAATTCTTATTTAATTATATTAAAAATAGAAAGTATTGAACCAAAATTAAAATTTTGTATATAATATTTTAAAATAAATTAAATGAAGCTACTGTGAACAATTCGAAACTAACCAATAAAATATATATAATCATTATTATTATGAAATATAAACATAACAATTTTTTTATTTTATCATTATTATAATATACAAAAATTATATAGGAAAAAAATATAAAAATATTTATTTCAAAAAATCATTCGTTAATTTTAAATATTAATGTACTACGAATTTATTGAAAGGCATATTTCGATTTTTTGTGTATCGGCTGCTCAGGAAAATAATCTTTCCCTGACAACTAATAGTGTTTGTTGGCCTAAATCTGGCCATCGTCGATAATTTTGTAAATCTCTAACATTTCCAGACCATTAGCTAAGAACATCCAGTGTTGTTATCTCTTCTATCTATAAATTATATTTAGATATAAAGAATTAATTTTTATATTTACCTTCTCATCTCATTTATATGCTAACTGACATCAAATTAGATTCGTTTTCCTCGAAATCGAATACCCGAGAAGTAGATGCTTCATAACCTTTGAATAAATTTTTAAGACTTTCATAATATCCAGCAGTATTTTTAAAAGTGGGCAAAAAAATCTCTTAGATCCTTGGATCTAGAAAACTAGTTGTCATATGCGATATATTATTGTCGCATTTGTAAAGCATCATCATCTAGGTCTTTTTAAGAGGTTTATTTTGATGGGTTGTATAAATTTTGTCTATATACAAAATTGCCATTCCAAATAGGGGATCTTTTGGTACAAAATTCACAAACCATTTTATAAAAGGGATATAGAATTTGTTCAAGTTTTTCTAAAAACTCGATTCCTCAATATTTAAAGAAAAATTTTCCTCGCCAAAATATTTCTTGCTTAGTATCTTTACAGCCTCTATATGCTAGATAATATTGTCATACATTAAATATTACTTTAATTAATACTAGTTAGCATTATAAATTTACTCTTCCACCTTGTTGAAACATTCAGTGGAACGATTCTCACCGCTAATATTAACAAACTAGCATATATTTTGGACTTCTATGTAATTTACAAAATTTTCAACCTTTTCTAGTAAATTAGAACAGGTTTTTAGTCCCTTTACAATAATATTTATAATATGTGCAAGCCATCCATGACATAATTTTTTTATATTAGTCATTAAGCTTATTTGAAGCTGCTATATTAGACCCATTGTCTTGGGTAATTGATAATAATTTTTTTTCAATTTTAAAATATTCAATTGATGATAATATAAGGTAAAAAATATCCTCACCTGTGAAAAATGAGGAAACTCTAAAATATCAAGTAAAAATTTTTTTGGGATTTAATATGCCTCAATAAAATGAACAGTTATATAATGCAAGATTCGAATTTTAAATTCATATATCACTTGTTAGGGATAATTGATCTTTTAAGATTTTGATTATGTTATTTTTCGCACTATTGAATATATTGATATATTTTCTTCCAGTTTGCCTGCAGAAATACCGGTACAGCCCTAAAAATTTATTTATATTTTTAGCAAATTTACGAAGACACGGGAAATCCTTATATTCTGAATCATTATCCATATTTACAAGCAAGGAAATTATCTGTCAGTCAAAATTTGCATACTAATAGTCTAATCATGATGCTTAATAAATAATAATGCATCATTCAATATTTTAATAGACCGAAACATTTTAAAAACATGTTCAAAATATGCTAAAAAAAATTTCTGTAGGGCAAACTGCAACAAAATATACATCCAATATATTAAATTGGGCTAAATATAATGTAATCAACAACTTTAAATGCGTGACCAATTAAAATTAAAAGTAGATAAAATGGATATAAGAAAATTCGATTTCAACGGCTCTATTTTAAAAACAGTTTATCTAATATTTTAGAAAAAATATTATGCAAGTCTGGAGATTTTGCTCAGATAGCAGAAAGGTTTAGACATCTATCAACGAAATCTATAGGCATTGCATAACATTTTTTGGCTAAAATATTGAGTTAGCCGTTTTTAAAAATCGAGCCTTTTAACACTTTATAATACAAAATAACAGTTCATTTTATTATATGCGAATTGGGTAACAGAAGATTTTATTGCTTGTTAATTTATGGTTTCCTCACGCATACAGAGAAGTGAGAATTCAAACTTTCGAACTTCTATTATTTTTAATAAAGAATTTAAAATTGGGGGAAAAAATATGTCGTTAATTGCACACATGACATGGGCACAAATTTTATAGTCGCATCCCTATTTTTTAAATGAATAATTATCAATAAAAAAATATAAATTTTTGATATATATCCATCCGATATGCCTGCCTTGCGCATTATAATAAATATTATTGGGAAAGAGAAACTAGAGAGCTTCTATAGTGAACTTGAGAAAGTTGAAAGTTTTGTAGAGAAATTACACAAAAGTCCAAAATTATGCAGGAATTCGTTATTATTAATACTAGGCAATAAATATTTAGGTGATGAAAGCTTTCCTTAAAAACTGAGGAATCAGAGATTTTTAAATGAATTTGAACTGTTCCTAATTCCTTTTTTTTCAAAATCACGTGTGAAATTAGTTGAGAAACATCTCTTTACGATTGGGATGGTAGTATATTATGCTGATAAAATACATCGAGGCTTTGATAGGCATGGAACTTATCACCAAACTGATCAATAAGGCTTTGTGGGTCATTGATTTATAAATGCAATATTTATTTTTCACATATGACATACTTTGAAAACTTACTTTGGTAAATTTCTGGATCCTCACATTAAAAAAAAAATTTCTGCCAAGTTTCATTAAATACAACAGGATATTATGAAAAACTTAAAAATTTATTCATTAGGTTTATAGCAGATATTTTCAGGCATCCGATTTCAACAAATTTAATGTCCGTGAAGTGAGAAGGTATCTATAAAAGTTAATTTTAATTCAATACTTCTTTTAAAATATATGAAATAAATATTTGTTAGTCCTTTAAACCCCTCTTATTCTAAATCAGGAAAGAGGATATGCAATAAGCTTGTAGTATAAATCTGTAAATAAATAATAAAGGCTTTAGGGTGTGATAGTCAAATATAACCTAGTATATTTCGAGACTATCTAAGCACAAATTATTGTTTTTATGGTATAGTTAGTAGATAGTTTTAGAGAAATTTATTTCAAAGATAATCAAAGTTTTGGGTATTTTTAATTCTCCATGACTGATATATTTTAGATTGCATTATGAGACAAATATGCATTTGAACTATTTTGTTTTTCTTCTCTATTTCCTATTTCTGGGTTTTGGTTAGTCTAATTTTATATTTAACTTATAAAACATTGTAGAAAATCTGGAAACTCTAATAAGATCCAATTCAAAACATGATAATTTCAAAAAAAAAATTAGCTTCGTGAGAAAGGGTTATCTTTAGGTTTTAGAAGGCATTCATTCCAAAAAACAACCAAAGTTTAATTTTGGAATTTTTCGAGAAGAAAATATATAAATATAACTTTAGCAAATATCATTGCTAAGAACAAGTATAATTTAGAAATTTTAAAAAAAAAAACCTTTTCAAACACTTTAATAAACAGACACTTAAGTAGATGCAATAACTAACTATAACAATTTTTTTTATTTATCTCTAATCTAACTTTAAAAAAAGACGATTAAATCAGCCTGCCTTGATTTTACTAAACGAACCGACAAAGTGGTCTGTTCCTTAGGCTGTGAACGTTGTTTTTACGACTCCAACTCGAGTTGAATCATAAAATCTAGACTAACTACTTTTTTTTTATAATCTAATAAAGTTAATATATAAACTAGACTTATAATATTGAGATTTTTATTTAGTATTACTCTAAATTGGCCGCCCTGATATTTGGGCATAATAAAAAATTATTATTAAGATAGCAAAAATGATTCTTTTTAATATATTATATTGTATTTTGGACAAATAATGGGAAAAATGTGTAAATCTTTTATTACTATTTTTAAAAATTTGGACGTGGCCTAAATATCTATCTAAATATATCGAAAATAGCCTATAATAAATCTTGAAATATATCTTATTAGAAGCTTCCTAAGCTTGTCTTAAGTGCTTAAAACGTATATTCGACATTTATTGTTCAGGCATTTAAAAATATATCCTAGTTCTACGTTTTGTCATTAAATTTTATTGATTGATAATTTTAAAAACAAAATACGTTAGAAGAATTTTCATTAGGCCGCAGCATAAAAATAACTTAGTGTTTGATATAAAACATTTTTTAAAAAAAATATCTTTTAAACAAATCATAAATAATCAAATTGCAATGAAATTGTTATGCCCGATCTCCCTTTTTATTTTTTTTTAGGTTCAGATTCAAGCCAAATCGTTAAAAAGGTTTCGGGTTTTTTACCAAAAAAAGAGTTAACCCAGGTTCTAGATTGGTTCTATTTTAATAATCTCCATCCAAAGAATTATCGACTCAATAAAATCATTTATATGCATTACTAAATTATGTCTAGTCTACCCTGCAATAAATTTTAGTACTATATTTTTATTATAAAAAAGTATAATTTTTACTTTTATTTATATAGACGTGATGGAAACTTATCTAAACGCATAATCAATTTGCCAATCTCTTTAGTTAATCAAAACATGCAAAAATATATAATTATTCGCAATGATGGTGTTAATACATATAAATTTAAGTTACAGGAAAATGGTTAGATCGTTTATTTAATTTTTTTTAAATATACTATATCGTTACTTAATTATTAATAAAAAAATCATTTTAAAGTCGAGCTATTTTGGGAAAAAAACATCATATCCGGTTCAAAATATATCGGATATTAGATCCGGTCACTATCTTAAGTATTGAAGTCTAAAATTCTAGCTTCTTAAAACTCGTTTCTATATATTTTTAATCCAGATAATTATTTTTTAAATGCCTTACCTCCATCAAAAATGGAGTTAGAACTATAAAAAAACAAGCAAAGATATTTTTACTTTCTTCACCCTTATATTTAAAATGATTATTTTTGTTTATTTGTTTAGATTCATCAAATAATACATGCTTTACTGGATTACCACTTCACCCTGTTGGATTCTTAGTTTGTGATAATAATATCACTGCTCAATATACCTATTTAGAAATGGGTACAATGTTTTCTTCAGCTGATTCGGAGATAATTGATAGCAACGATAAACACATATGGTTCTTCGTAGTTATCTCATTTTTGGCATTTTTAGCTCTTTTGATTATGTTCTTAATGTTTGTTCGGAGGTATAAATATAGGATAGTCGAATGGTATCCAGAAAAGGTTGGATATTCCCATATTTTAAGGAAAACTCAAGCACTATCGGATGAACCTCAAGTTTTATATTAATTATATTGATAATTTATTCCATTTGTGGCAATACCCCCCCCCCCCTCAACATTGATTTAAAAAAATTTCTAGGCAGGCTCAGGCTTTTTAACTTTTATATAATATAAATGCGTTATTGCAATTTTTCAAATTGAAAATTTTAGGCCTAGCCGAGGTTTAAAACTCAATAAGAACTTAATATAATCTTTTTTAATATCACAAAAGATAGATATCATTTAAAATTTCCTTAATTTAATAGCCATATGGGCCTCCCGATGCGTTTTCTTAAAGAAATTTTAAATATTTAGTATTTATACCAAACTCTTATTTTTTAGTCATCAAGAATGTATGATCCCACGCAACCTAAATATAGAAATATAAGACATCTTTATGCCATCCCAGAAACTCATATCTAATTGCAAGTTAAATGTGGTAAAAAAATCACAAACGGAATTTCAATATAACTTAGAATCAAATGAGAATCCTCCCTCCCCCTGAAAATGTGCCGAATTATTATTAACATAACAAGAATAGAAGTAAAAATTATAAGAAACATTGGTTTTAAAATTTTCAATAATCCCATTTTAGGAAAAAGCTAACTTATAAATTCTAAATTGGATTTAAAAAAAATTTAATAAAGTTTCCTGTAAGCCTAAGTTTATAAAAAAAATAATTTATTTCACCATTTTTTGTAAATGTACCATAATATAACAAATGTCGCATTAGTCATATATGGTAGTCAATTATTTACTACGTCATATTTATTCTCCATTGTAAAAAGTATTTAAAAGTGGTTCATTATTTATATATATATCTCGATTTTTAACAAGCCTTATTTTCTGTTTGATAACAAAAAATTTAATATAATTTTAGACATTTATTTATTAAATCTTTATTAACCCGTTTTTGCCCAGGTTAATTTTTTTTTATTATATCGATTTATCGATAAAAATTTTTAGGTTATCCTCCCATCTCCATGTAATAAATAAAAAAAGTAAATATTCTTTTTTTTAAATAAATTTTAATTTATTCAAATACTCTAACATAAAATGTAAAACTATCAACATAAAATGTGTTTAAAACAACATGGAGATTTAACATATATTTTTTTAAAGATAATTCACATCGATTTGACCCCCTGATACAATACTGTCATTCTATGTCACTCAGATCATTTAAAGATTTTGGCCAAAGGCGTCTTTTTATTTCAAAAAATAAAATATAATTGCAAAGTTTATGATAAAAAAAATCAAAATATTCTACATAACATAAATTTGTAATTGCTTCTGACGAAAGAGAGAATTGAGGATATTGTGGAATTAAATCATTTGTGTTACGGTTTATAAGTAGTGGCTAGTTTTTTTGTTTTGGGTAATATAATAGATTTCATCAAAACTCATTCTTTAATTCAACCTATATGGTTCCCTGATATTGTAACTTCCTAAACGAGAATTATCTATTATATAATTCATCTTCCCTATTTTCCTTAGCCTTACTAAGATTTCAATCACCAGGTGATGACTCAAAATAAGTTGATAGGTTTTGGTCATCCTTATTTTCCAATATTACAAACAATTCTTCAATACAATAGTGGCATGTTATGTAAATAATTCTTATATATTATTTAATTATTTATGGGATTTCTACTATATATCTAACAATATCCTAAAATTTAAAAATTATACAATATTGTAAGAAATTTTAAAAATAATTAATACTTGTTTGAGTTCCCAGTGTTCCAATATCTAATTATGAACAAAATTAATTATTTAGAATTACTGCTATATATATAATTAAAAAATATCTTAACAATATAAAAAATATTTAAATGTGGAAATGCTTAAAAACTTAGATATTTTTTTTAACAAAATGGAATTTCAGGAATTAAATAAAATTGGTATAAAAAAGATAAGTTGACAAGATGGAAAAAAATTAAATAAATGTTCCTATATCTGAACATCATGCAAAAACGGGTTGAGGATATTATTTTAAAACCAATCATTTATTTTGCCCATGATTTTAATCAAGTATACTGCAATATCTAATCTACATTCCTTCAAAAATCTCAGTTTTATTTTTTTTATGACACTTTAAACTATTGTATAATGTAACATAATAAAGGCAATATTTTATAATATGACTTGTGCAATTGTTTTTATATCAAATTTATTTGTAGAACTTTTATATGAATATTGTTTTAATATCCATTGTAAATTTTATAGTATTTATAAAAAATTAGCTAAAACCCATTGATGGGACATCATATTATTATTATATCAAATTTGAATTTGAAATAAAAATGTGTAGTTTAGGTGTGTCACACAGTTTCATATCCTTGTCTATTATTTATAATAAAACCATTAATTTCAAATTTTATATAAGCTATTAATGTTGTTAAAAAGCAAGATTTGGGTAAACAACCTGATTAAGATTTTAGCCAAAACAATATTATCAGGCCTAGAGATTTTTCTCATAGATGGCAAAAAGATGGATCTCTTCTCCTTAATTGGGCCATTTTTAAAAATCAACCCAAATCAGGATTTTTAACAATACTAAATTTTATATTTATTTTATACCATCCATGCCAATCAATGATTTTTTTATACAAAAATTTTTATAATACATATGTCAATAAATAAAAATTATTTTACATATTTAAATATTGGTATAATTCTTAAGATAAAAAAAATGCTATAATCAATATTTCAACCATTCACCCATATATGAGCATGTTATAGGTGATATATATCCATTTGTTGAGCATTTATTAAAAGTAGGACATATGCCACATGGCACTGAAAAAAGTCCACTTATTTTATTCTGTGAATTAATAGGGTCTAAATTTTCAATATCCGATAAAATATTAGAAAAGGGGAAAAAAGATTGAGTTGTTTTATATAATTTGATATATTCATTTACCAATTTATCATTTGCTTTTTCACTAATGTTGTTTAAAATAAAAAGTGGTAATAATGATTGTGATACAATAATTTTTTCAACACAATTGTCATAAAATAATGTTTCCATTATCATTTCAATATCATCTAAGCTTAAAGATATTTTTGAAATGCCCAAATCAGTTATATGTTTTAATATCTCTACAGATGAAACATACATTACAAGTGGGTGTATTTTGTTATAAGCTTTCATAAAACTTTTTTTCCTTGAATTTATTTCTTGATATATATATTTCAAGCATTGATTATTTAATATTTCAACAAATTCTGATTCAAAATCTTGATCAGAGTACCAAGACCCTCCTGTCAAAGACTGATCTGGTTCGATTTCATATAACATGTATAATTTTTTCTTAGAGGCTGATATTGCTTTGATTGATTTAACCAATTTCAAGGTTTCCAAATTTTTGACAATCTTGTTTAATTGTGCCAACAATAAATTTGATTTGTATCTAATATCCCGAATCCATATACCTTAAGCAAAGGATGCAAGACAAATAAATTGATTTTAAAGAGTAAATTTAAAATAAAATATTTACATGAATTAAAACAAATTTTAGAAAGAAATAAACCTTTAACAAATTTTTATTTAAAGAAATTTGATTAAATTAAAATGTCATTAAAGAAAGAAATATAACCTTTATTTCCAGAATCTTTAATAATCTGATAAACAAGCTTTTCATCTGATTCCTCCAATAATTGAGAAGCATTTTTTTCAACATTGTTATATTTGTATATTAATGTGTTATTTGATGATTTCAACAAATTCAACGAGCCATCATTCAGTAATAAATTAATAATATTGACTATATTTTTGGGATCAATGTCAATAAAATTTTTGCGTAGAGTTTTATCAGAAACACCATTAACATTTTTTTTTAGATAATTTATAATTCTTAATTGGGAAATATTATATAAAATCATTAATTTAAAACTTTTCTTTGTCTTGTTGTTCAGTCATAATAAATTATTTATTTCATGATGTTCGTATCGTCCCACAATGTCGAATTGTGTTTATACGTTTGTCACCTTATGAAAGGTGATAGCATAAAAACGTTATTTTTTTTATAATATAAATAAATGCAAGTTTCTTCTAACATTATTTACCTTTAAAATCAAACACTACATTAGTTTCACAGCATATAGAGTTCCTAACAAACATGCAATGGAAGATTTGTATGATTACCCTCTTCTATAACCTTTGAAATCTAAAAATACATTAGTTGCACGGCATATTATATGCTAACAAACTATGGAATAAATGTTATTCTCTTCTAACATTATTTATCTTACTGCATATTATAGATGCCTTAAAAAATCATGCAATTGAAGATTATAAATAATTCTAATTACTTAATAAAGTGTTATTAGTTAATTATCTTCCAATTACATAAACTTTTTACATTTCTTATTTTACAAAGCTATCTTTCAAGATTATGTAATTACTCAAGATAATGCTTGCTATTATTAAGATAATATTTTCACAATTCAATGAAGGATATAAAAATTCATGTAATGACATTATTTTTATATTTTCTACTAAATGATGCACATAATTTACAAATTTTTGACACAAGTTTATAATTTTTTTGTGAAATGAATATTGTAGTGATTTGATAAAATAAAAAATATATATCATTTAATTCCAAGATGTGTCTTTTACATTTCCTAAAATAACAATAATCTATTAATTTGACCTTCTCTTTTGCCTTCTTATAAGTTTTATGTTTTCATTTAATATTTCTCTCGTTTCAAACATATTATGGGCCACATTAAATGCCACTTTAACTTATTTATCTTTTTAATATTCGAAAAGGTGGACCCAAATTGATTTTTTTTTAAATACAGAGTTATTCTTGTAAAAGTTTCAATATAAAGATTTGAAAAAATATTCAATAATATAACAAAAAAAATGTACTAAATAAAATGATATATAAAGGTTATCTAAACTAAGAATTATATCTATTTATCCATATTATTAAAAACCAAAAAATAATCCTCTGTAGGCTATTTATGAAATATAAATAATAGTTTTTTTTAAATTGGTAAATTTTTATTTTTTGACTAAAATAAAATTCTTTGTCAATTATATCTATTTAAAAAAAATAACATCATTAGTTGACGGTGATTAACAAAAATTTCTTTTTAACAATTTTAAATCATAGGAAATCCCGAAAGATGGTTTGTAGAATATGACAAGTCTGTCCTTAATAAAGGATTTTGCATTCCTATTATATTGCAGGCCAAAAAATAATTATAGTAAAAAAAGTTAATATTAAAGCGCTAATAGTAATAATTTTAATGCTCATTTTCAATTTTGTATGCTATTTAATATAAATAATTTTTTCATATAATTATATCTAAAGGGGAAAAATATAATTAAAAAATTTCAATAATTATAAGCTCAAGTATGAAAGAAAAATAATATATTAGAGTCGCCTGTCCATGTGAGTTATTTTTATCAAAGACTGATTTAAGAATAGTACTAATTCTTCTTTTTCATTGCTTCCATATTATTTTTTGGTTTTAAACTTTACATACTAAATTTTGGTAATTTAGTTAGTAAAATATAATAAAGCCAAATTAAAAATATAACATTCATATATATAAAATATAGTGGTACACTATAATAAATTATGATATATTTTACAAATGAGGTAATTTTTGGAATTGACACAATTATTTAATATTATAATCCAAAAGTGGAAATTATTTATGAATTCTGAAAGAACCATTTTTTTAAAACTATTCAGAATAAGAAACACATTTATTTCATGTTAAAAATTGATCTAAATACACCATTAAATAAATGACGCTAGTTTATATCCTCAAGCATAGAAATATTCTATATTGTGTCACTAAATTTAATATGCATAAATATTCATATTTCAGACATAAATGCAGAAAAAATTAAATATTTTTAATCATCGTAATTTACTGTTAATAAATATATGATATTTTTAAAACTGACCTTTTATTAATATTAATATGGTGCTGAAAGTTAACAAAAGTAAAAATTGCGTTTATTAGGTTTATTATATTTTTACATTAATCTAATAAAACTTAAAAAAAACTATTATCAAAAATAAGGTATAATATATATATCTTTCATATTAAATACAAATTTGATTAAACAAAATAAAAAGTATCAAAATATATTACAAAATTATTTAAACAAAAGTAAGGTTATAAGCTAAAATAATCGTAAGTTTTCATCAAAATATTAAATAAGGTTATATTCAAATAATATCAATTAATGAATGTCAATGCAAATTTAAATATAAAAAATCAATTCTATTATTTAACAATTAAAGATAGTTCTTATCTATATTATAAATTTCCGATGTCCTCACTACGTCATCGTGACGTCATGTCATCGCTACGTCATGTCATCGTTACGTCATGTCATCGGTACGTATTTATTTATTTATTTTTTATTTGTTGATTTTTTTATAAACAGATGTTCATACCAAATTTGAATTCCTGAAATCAGAAGAAGTAATTTATTTGTTGATTTTTTATGATCATATCTATTTTTAGAGACTATCATTTTCCTTGACTGAAATCGGAGTGCCAGATACCAATTTTTAGAGATTATCATTTTATTTGAATTCCTGAAATCAGAAGAAGTAATTTATTTGTTTATTTTTTATGATCATATCTATTTTTAGAGACTATCATTTTCCTTGAATTCCTGAAATCATAGTGCCAGTTATTTAAAAAAATTCTCTAAATAAGGGCACTCATCCTTTTTTAAAAAAAGAAAAGATATATACTCAAATAAGTATATTAAATTAAGTTAATTATACTAATTATTTTATCTACTAGGCTATACCAAATTTGAATTCCTGAAATCAGAAGAAGTAATTTATTTGTTGATTTTTTATGATCATATCTATTTTTAGAGACTATCATTTTCCTTGACTGAAATCGGAGTGCCAAGATACCAATTTTTAGAGATTATCATTTTATTTGAATTCCTGAAATCAGGAGAAGTAATTTATTTGTTATTTTTTATGATCATATCTATTTTTAGAGACTATCATTTTCCTTGAATTCCTGAAATCGGAGTGCCAGTTATTTAAAAAAATTCTCTAAATAAGGGCATTAAATAGACTTAATCAAAGTTTCCTTTTGAAAAAGTAAGATTATTAAATTAAGTTAAATTCTTTTTTTAAAAAAGAAAAGATATATACTCAAATAAGAATATTAAATTAAGTTAATTATACTAATTATTTTATCTACTAGGCTTGAGAAATTTTTTTATAAATTATAAGGTCTTGAACGCGTGGAAATTTTTTCCAAATATTATGAGCTTGGACCTGGCTTGAAATTTTTTAATGTTAAATGTTAGTCTTATGTAACCAGTAATATATTTACAAAGAATTTTGGTATTGGGTACAAGCTCATTTAATATAATTTGACTCAAATAATAGTTTCCACTCTCAGTCCTAATGGGTTGGACTCAATGACATTGCTTGGACTTGACCTAAATGGGGAGTAGGGGTTTAAAAATTATATAAATTGGATATGATTTTTAAATAAAAGGTAACATCTTTCTTAAAAAAACGAATAAAATTCTCATTCTCCGTCATTTTTGACGGGCTATCTACTAATTTAGTAAAAAAAATAGAGAGTTTTTTCGATAAATTATTATAGAATTTTTTTAAAGCTGATATTAACATTTTCTTACCTCGAAGTGCTAAAAAAATCTGATTTATGAATATTATTCCAAATGAGAGGAATAGTGTGTTACTGATCATGCAAGCAGCCAAACTGTTGCTAAATCCTAGACTCCTAGATCTGAAGATGAACTCCTTAATCGTTTGTGTTATCTTTTTCTATGGTAAATTAAATTTTGGTAGACACCATTATTATAATAATGACTTACTGCTTTCATAATCTTCTTCACTATAAATGAAGTATCTGCACACCTATTGCATGTATAAATTTAGATTAGTGATTTAGATTAGTCATCTGCATCGGGCCTAATTTTTCAAGCCCGGCCCGAAATTTTTTTTATAAAGTTTTGCCCGGCCCGAATTTATTTAAATATAGAAATTAATTCTTAGAATTACTCAACATAAACGATATATATATGGCGTCTACTTTCTATAAATAAAATCATATATTTTTATTTTACATAAAAAATTCAACATGAAATTGATAAATTTAGATATATTTTAAAAAGATTTAAGCCCGACCCGGCCTGGCCCGAATTTTCTTAAATAATATTAGGCCCGGCACAGACTGAAATCCGTTCGGGCCGGGTACGGGCCGCGCCTACTTTTGCAGATCTCTAATTTAGATAAACTTTTAAGTTATGTTTTTGAAATCATATATGACAAATTTGATACAATTTTTATGTTGCGTTGTTGCATTCTAATTTTTATTTTTTATAATCTAATTTTACTTGTTGTATTTCATAACCTTACTTTTTAATATTTTAATCTTATTTTTGTTTTTCGTTTTTTTAATATTGTATTCTAATTTGGATTTATAAAATATGTATATAAACGAAGTGTGAAATGGAAAAGATAGACATAATAAAGTTAATAATAAAAATACGTTTTTGTTTAATAGCACATATCATGTTTCTTTGCATGGTGCTCCATAATAGGTAAAAGAATCTCACCTTATGGAAATTAAATGTTTTTCTTTAAAAAATAAAAAAAAAATTTCCCCTATATATACAAGAAGATTGAAAAGTAAATTCATTTTTTTATATTATGTTCTCGTTCAAGTTAATTAATATCGCCTACAATATTTCAATTTATGACATCCTGTTCGACTTAACTTATAATTGTGATGTAAATTATTCGAGAATTAGTGGGACAGAAGACGTTCTGTTCGAATTTATCAATTTGAGAAATATGATTTCTTGCTTCGAATCTTTGAATGGAAAGCATTACATATTTAGCGATAATGATTTTATCCAACTAATTTGTAATTTGTCAAAACATAAATTATTAAAATATCATATGTTATAATT